AAGGCATTGTTTATACATGGAATTCGAGCGTTATTTTTCCCCTGGAAGTCGCATTTTCATAATCTATATAGCATTAAATTGCCAATATTATACAGCAATTATTTAGAAAGAAAATTTTTCACCCTTTGCACTCCGTTATTGCCGCTACGGGGCACTCCGTTGTTGCCGCTGCGGTAACATGTATAAGGAAACTTTTTTCATAATCATACCTCCAACAAAATATTTCAAGGTTATCAAAACCTGTGAGATGACCACGATTACACGTACATAATTACCGTATTTTCGTGTAGACAGCTAAAAAATCGATGTTATCGATTGGGTCCAACTCCTCCGTAGCCGGTGGCGGTGAAAACCTTTCCTTCACGGTGAAGTGCACACGTTAAAAACAAATTAATAAAATGGTCATGCGTGCTCCTGACTGTGCCGAATTTCGGAGTGTCTCCCAGCGGTAAAGGTTTATGGCGGCATTGTTCCGTAAGTCAGCAGCAGGAACTGGGTGGGGCGAAAGCCTCAACTCTATTCGACACGATGCACTGATTGTGGAATAATTCGAAAATACTGTTTCCACTGAATTTAACCACCATGATGTTTTACTTTGAAAAAAATAGTTTCGTTCGAGGTTTAGTAGGATTAGAGGGAGTCGATCGATCTCCACGTAATTTTCACTGTTTTAACAGTGAATTCACTTCGTTTAACCAGTTACCTGCGTTCAACGTGTATACACATCATCTTAAAACGCAAAATTGTACTAATTTATTCAACGATAAATTATTTTTTTCAGATAAATGTGTAATTCTTCTTTGTTTTGCTCCAGTTTTTCGTTAGAATATACTATAGATGCATTTGCTCCGCGTTTGACGAGTATACATTTCGTTATTTGATTTTATTGCGCCCGCAATGAGAGATTTTTCAAACTAAATTCCACAGTTAACTGATTAAGGATAGTACAGAAGTAAAACCCCTAAACTTAGTCATTTATTTTCCCGGTTACTATCTAAGATTTTTAAATGAAACAGACGTCAAGTAAAAGTTATATGCAGATATCTACTTCATATATTTTCTCAGAATATTAGCTTTCGTATTAAGGGTAAAAGAGAGATTTGTCTTAAGGGTGGATTTTCAAAACGTCCTTTTAGTGAAATCCGCTAAGCAAATTAAAAATAATATTCTCTACAACCTAAAATTTATGTATACAAATTTTAGGAAAGTTAAGAGAGTAAAACTCGGTTCAATAAAGTAAAGAAGAAAGAAACTTGTTTTTTCTTGAATGTGAAGTAAACTGGAAAGACCTAAATGTTTTTTGACCTAAATATCTATCAATGTATCAGCTGTTTCTTCATATGTTAGACAATATTCTATCTCAATCACATCCTTGTTATATTTTTCGCTTATGAAAACCTACCTTACATCTATTTGCATACAATTTAGCATTTTTTATTAACACTAGGTTCACGCACATTTATTGTACGGTTGATTCTACTGCTTCTAGAAAAATTCATGTTCGTTCATTCAGATATTGGAAGTTAGAGGTTTAAAAATAGATAACTGATATACATACTGTAATTGTGTCAATCAAAGTCAACATTTATCAAATAGTGTTTATAAATTTCAATATACGTTAAATTGACTCCTTCCGCGAACCTAGTGTTAAGATCATTGCACTCTGGTTATTGATTAATGATTTTATTTTCCTTTTACATTCATCTTTGTTAATGCGTATATTTTTCAGATATTACAACTTCTTGCAGCATGCTACTGGTGCTACATTTATGATTTGCTTTTATTGAAGAAAGTGATATTATTGATTATTTTCGAGAGTACCAGTTACCTGGTCTTCCTCTATACATTATTGCTTAACCAGTTATGCTTTCTGGCGCGTGTTGATGTACGTCGCGAAATTCTCATCGCAATATTGAATGAGCTCATTGTTCCGAATCACATCGTTCCAGGAATATTTCACTCCTATCTCTTCCGTACTGTAATGCACCGTGAATGATGTATCAGAACATATTTTGGAACATAAACATTGTCAGCTGCCTACCGTATCTCGTAGAGAAATTTCTTTTCTCGTTACTTCATGTTACTGTTTTCCGATTTATAAAAGATCTATTGTAATAATGTATTCAATAATTGTTTGATACAATAATATACTTTTATGTTCTTAATGTTGAACCCTAGGAAACTTTCAAAATTATAAATACATTAATCGTTACATCGTCTATCACTATTTCATCCTCTATATATAATGCTAATATATTGAAGTTTATTATCGTATGTAAAGATATACTGTTCTACCATATTCAACTTATAGTCATACCATTTCAAGGTTTTAAATCAGTTCCAGTTTATTAAAGTTTGTTTAAGGAAATATATTTTCTTTTTTAATTCATGTTACTTTCTGCGATCAATGATCTACTTTACGCAAGTGTATATAAAATTAATTCTTAGTTCAAATATTCATATAGGAAAGTTGTGTTAATGTCAAAATTTACTATAAGATAATACTTTTGTGGAAGTGATGCTATTATTAATCTAAAGCCATTGAGATTCAATACAGGATTGTAAGTTTCATCGTAGTCCGTTCTTTTGCTTGCAATCTCTGATTATGAATTGAACTCTATATATACCTTTCATCGCCCTATATTTGAAAAACCCTTTTTGCAGTAAGAATCTTTTTATCTTCTAGACCTGCTTGGTCTCTATCAATTCACGTTTTATTTGCTTCTAACGAGCTCATTTCTTCTTCTATGGCATTTTCCACTTATCTCAGACGGGTCCACTGATTGCTTCCCGATAAGATAAATGATCGTAATAGTTTCCATACCTACGTGTCAGATTCCTTTGCCGTATTGGTGTTTTTTACAGTGTCTCTAACAGTATCTCCTCTTCCATTGTATCGGAGAAGGTTTCTATTTCTTCTATCTCTTTTGTACATTTATTATATCTTCTATTTCTTTAGTAATTTGGTTTCCTTAAATATCCTCTGTTTCTTGATTTATCCTACCTATTATTTATTGTGTTCTTGTCTTACCTGTGTGGCTCGATTTTTGTCAGTATGTGTTTCTGAAAATAATGTTTCTAAGAATTATGATTGTTTTTCTTTCATTAAAATCCGAAGATATCAGAAACCAGATGATCGAAATGGATCAGATCGGGCAGAAAGAATCGGGATTCTCGAAATTTTTGAAAATTTCGTAACTCTCGATAACTATGACTGATTATAGAAAATATAGCATGGAGTAAAAATAATATCCAAATATGTCATTCCTAGAGGTAATATCTTATTTCAAATTCTCGTGTAAAAAGGCTAATCTTCCTATGTTCTTTCCTAGAAATTTTGTTCTACTTTGTGTAAATATATTGTGTTTAGTGAAAAATAGTGATATGCTGGTTGCTTGCGTAGTACAAACACCAATACAACCTCTTATATCCTTTATAGGGGACTATCTTGGTGCTGTCTGTCCACCATTGAATAATATCAATATTTTTATAAATACAAAATCTTTCTCAAAATAAGTTTTTATTTCTACATCTGTACGTACGATGAATGTATCTAGTATTCAGTATTAGTTGCTATGCTATCAATATCATTATTAAAAAAATGTTTAAGTTTAAATATGGGTTTACCTATAAAAGAAAAATTTATTGATAAGTGTTTGAAAAAATCGTAAGTCATATAACTACTTCACAAATATAACGCTATCATATTTTTCAGTTGATGCACATTCTGTATTATTATTGCATTATTAGTAGCGATGGTAAATTGAGTGAAATTTCTGTTATTTCTAAACAATCAGGAAGAAACAATCTCTTTATGTTCCTAAATTCCTTTACATTTGGAAAGCAGTTCGTACGAACTACGTTCATAAAATTTCATAGGATGATATCATCATAAATATATTATATTTACGTTCTGATAAACACTAATCTACTATTGGAACGTCATTTGATGGCAAGGCCTGAGGAATGCGGGACTCATCAATCAGCTTTCAAGTTTTCTCACTTCATTTTCGATACTAATTTGCTATTGGTCAATACTATTGATATAAAACAGTAAAGTACTAAATCATCCCTTGCCCCTGTGCCATCCCGTTAGACATCAAGTGATCTGCCAATAGCAAATAAAAGGCGAGTAATCCATGATTTTTCTAACTTACGTGACTGTAATTGATTCGGTGATTCGGTGTTGTATTTTATGCAATCTTTGCAACAAATTCCAATTCCTCAGCCGATCTTGTCCTAATTAGGTCCTCCACAAAAATTTACATTCGATGTCCAATTTATCCTGTTTCTTGTTGGTGAAGACAATTACACGCCAAACTTCAAAGCAGCAACATTATATAACATTCGCAAAAATTAATGCGATTTTCGATTTACAATTGCATTCAACGTGAATTAGCATTTTACTGTGCAACAATATGGAACAATCAGCCAACCTGGTTTTGCCAGGCAAAGGAATCACATGAGCGTAATGATACACTTAATTTGAATGGTACGAATTAATATCAGTAAGCGCAAACCGCGGAACCAGACCACAGATCGAAATTCAACTGTTGTATTAAAGAATATCAAAGTTCGGCTATGGTTTACTTTTAAAAAATATTTGAGCTGGAAGTTTAAGGTAGAAACTAATTTTTTAGCTTATTTTTATACATCTTCGTCAAGTTAGAGCTGTAGAATCACGCTATAACGCTGTTTACACTTCTAATTTTCGTACACCCTGTACAATAAATTTCGCAAATGCTGCACATAAAATTTTAATGTGTTCTTTTGTCAGTTAAAGCTCTCCAGAAAATAGTTTCATTGATTATGTAACGTATGAAGTTAATTTATCGAGCGTTTTCGTGGGAAATTAAAGCTTACGAATTATCGATTAAAATGTTAACAGCCGTACTTGAAACACTGTGTTTTACAAGTGTAAAGTCGCATGTGTATTTACACATGCCCGATTAATTGCTAAAAGAACAGAAGAATGATCATTTTCTGTGTATGTGACGCAGTATTACATGCGGCAGGGTTGCGTGGCCGTGATGTCAACTACATGGATAGCGAGCGTGGCCATCTTCGGTGCACTCGTGCTTCCAAGAGGTGGTTATTATTTCAACGGTTCCGGCCTCCTCGCATGCGACCCTTTCTTCGCCAGAGCGTCACTTAGGTATTGTTAAATTGAATTTATTACTTATAGACGTAATACATAATTTATCATAATACTTATTATAGTGTATATATGTGGATATCGGGAATATAGAAAAACTAATGAATAACTATGTTCATTAACCCCTTGTCGTACAATATCGTGTTAAACTTGTGGTGCAGATTTCAAATAGAATTTAACAAACATAATGTTATTGAATTTGTTTGAATACAAATTACGTACTATTTCTCTGTTATCAATGATTATACTTTGGAGTACACATTGACGTAGAATAAGATCGAAATTTCTTCTTATTTTCAATAAATTATTAATAACAGAGCAGTTAGATCGTTCACAGTTCAGAAAGAAATCATATGGCACGGGGTTAATATAAGAAACTATATACCAATGATGCACAACTAAAACGATACACAACTTTACACTTACTGCCACGAAAGCCAATGCACGACTCACTGTGCACAGACTTTCTTTCGAACGTTCGCATTCAAAAATCATTCTCTCCTCTACAATCATTCTTCTCACTCGTACTCTCCGCAAATTCTCAAACACGCCCCTTGAAAGCCGAACTGGAAACCTTGGGCCTGCGACGTTGTGCACTTCCCCTCGACCCCTTTCTTATTCAGGAACTATAAAGGATTCTGTTTTCTATCGTTATGTTGCACTTCATCGCATTCAGTCTCGCCTCCGTCTTGTGTTACTGCTACGTACCAATGATGACTGCTGCCTCGCAAGCAATATGCTCATAGAGCCATCGACTTCAAGTAGACCTGAACAAATTCATTTAGGCAACAGATGCTTTCTGCATCTGTGATCCGCTTACTCGGTAAACTGGTACTTCGTAAAAACTTCTAACGAAAGTTCATGTTTCGGAAAGACTCAGCACGTTGTATGAGTTTGTTGTTTGTAATCTGCGATTAGGATATCCGGTCAACGCGCGTCGTCCCGGAGTGCGTCTGCACCGGAGGACAATGGTTGGTCAGGGTGGATTTTCCCATTTTTTACGTACACATCAGCATGTCCCCACTGTGTCGCTTCTTCCATTCTATCATTCGTATTTCTTATATATTTTAACCAATCTGCGTGTCCACCTTTGGCAGCAGGCCTAACTTCAACGCTTCGACATGATCGGGAATTTAGTCAGCAGTCAACTGTCAAGGAAACGCACTCGCATTCATTCATAAATACATTCAGTTCAATTGTAACATGACTCCATCAAACAGTTTGTTTCCTCCCTTGACAATCGATCCTGAGACGGTTAAGTTCGCGATACAATAGCTGAGATAGTTGAGATCAACTCTCAACTATGCAACAATGACTATGCGTCGAAAACAGGCGGCCAAAACATTGTGAGTGGAAGAGTCCCCTTGCCTCCCTGACTTCTTGCCAAAAAGAATAACCGCCAACACTTCTGAGCCTGAGAGTACTAACGTGAGAGGCGTATAGTAGGAACACGTTCAAATTGTTGGTTTCTACAACACATCACGACATATCCAAAAATCATCCAAACCGGTCCGCGCATAGCTTCTCGATCACTCCAAGAAAATTGTATAAAAGTATTATTTATTTTTAGCGTGAAATATGAAATATTCTCAAGTAGGTTTGCCGTTGAATTTATTATTAAAGTGAGAGCTTAAAAGTGTACCGCAAAATATATAATAATACTTTTAACGTCTTCAGCATTATTGCGACAGTTTTAACCAATACTGGAAATAGGTGTGGAAGAAGGTTGGGCGATTAGCTTCTAGGCTATGATACCTCATTGTCAGACATTTTTTCCGGGTAGATATACTTTTAACGTCTTGGCATCCAACTCAATAGCAATTGCAGTACCATAAATTTCTCGAGGCGACACAGGACAATGTCTGCTGAGTGTGCACCCTTCTTGGTCCAAAACTGTTACGGGCTACCACGATGTAGATTTCTCACTCCTATAAATAGCTATCGTTGTCCCGAGTCTGAATGAATTACCAATTCACTTGTATCGAATTTATCAGTTAGAAATAACGTGATCAATGCTAGGACGTCTACGAATATTACTCTTGTCGAATGATTTGTTCAAATTATTCTCAGTCGTTTTCATCTTGCTTAGGCATATTTGGGCGATGCCTGAGCCGCTTACTGGCTAAATCGATTAAATCCACGTTCTGCATTTCCTAAAATTTTATCATTAAAGCGCTACATTGGCTCTTAACTTTTTATATTTAATATATATTTCATTATGACATTAAGTTTTTGGGTTACGGAAATATTGCAATAATAATAAAATTTATTTAAATAATATATTATTTTATGTATTTTAAATTGAAGCTGCATCTGTTTGAACCAAGTAAATACATTCTGTTATGATGACTCCATTTTTCATTTAAATGGAAATTTTAAAAATCAACATATAATTGTTGCACCATTTTTCTCTGCTGTTTGTTTTGTGGAGTTAATCGATTTGTCCAATGAGCGATTCATATGATTCCTCACGTTACATGAATAATACTGAAATTCAAATCCAAGGTGAAATTCAAATTGGCTTTTATTAAAAAATGCATTCTCGTTGGTCGATCTCGATCAAGGCGACTACAATTTCAGTTTAACCCATTCGAGACACATTATACAGTGTGCGCATAATGCATTTCTTAGCCAAAAAATGAGTTGCACAACGTGTGTGTGACGATCATGAATTTCTATTATTAAATAGAAAATATTAGAGAATTAGAAAATTTCTTTATCATCAAGTGAGAAAATAGCTTATTCTACTAGTCAATAGTAAGAATTAATCCTTTGTACTCGATTTATTTTGAACGTTGCTGGGTGTAGACTTGTATTTATTTTTAGAGAAATGAATTGAAGTAATTTACACCGGTAAAATTCAACGTTTTATATTTATTTTAATTATTATTATTACAATAAGATTTAATTTTTATAATCATTTCAAATATGGTACTTTTTAAAACAATTTCCAACGTTCTATAATAAATTTCTATTGTCATCTCTAGTATAACAGACGAGTGCAAAGGTTTAAAAGTGTGCAATAATTAAAGCTTGTATTGGTTTTAAGCTAAGACTTGGTCGTCTCTCAAACACGATCACGTATGTAGAATTCAATGTAATGATACAAAAGTTCTTCGCGGTTACCTCGGAAACTAAATCAGCAATATTTTTTGGAAAGGAGGAAGTTGTCCGCAATATGCATTTCTTGCAATATTTAATGGTTTTATTAAAATCAGTTATCGCAGGGATCTGTTTACGTTTTACCAGCGAATGCATGAGTGCAAGAGGGAGAGAGAGAGGGAGGGAGGGAGGGAGAATGAGAGCGCAAATGAATATAAGACGTGAAAACGAAGGTGATTGACCCTGTTTTAAGCGATGAGCAAACAACAGTAAAGCAATACAGCGTGTTATATTTGATTGTCAGCGTAATATATGTTTCGTCTCATTTTGTACTTTTTTGTTTAGTAAATTCTGTTTTCGGTTTGTCAGACTATATATTCGTTATTTTCTATTTTTCCGCCTTTTCGTTCCTCCCGCACTCTTTATTCCTACACTATTTCTTTTAACCGAGTTCCATCTGCAAACTGTATTCTAACGGTTATTAACTACTTTGCTTTTTTACTAAAATTCGTGCGCTTTAAAATAAAGCAATTATACTGTAAATTAAAGCATACCTTCTTCATTACATTTATCGCAATTTCACCTTGTTATTAGGTTGGCAAGAAAATTTTGTCGTTTTCTAGGGAAAATTTAATTTTATATATTCAATATTAAAACGAAAATTCATCTATATATGAACTAGGTCATTTATGCCGGATGTGCAGATAATCTTATTCTTCGACCATAAAACGAAAAAACAATGAAAACCATCTTTAGACCCTACGCATTTCGACTTTATATGATTCAAAAACAGCACAAGTTTTTATGAGTTTCCATGATGTGCTAAAGTTGGAACTTGAAAAGCATAGAGTGCCGGAAATGAATTGTATCTCCATTCATAATAAACATTTATTTTACAAAATCTAAAAATAAGAAAAACTACTCAAATTTAAAAATCCAAATTAAATAATATTAGCTTTCGATTGCCACCAAGATCATTCGTATCATACAATGAATAACGAAAGAATAAGCGTGTTAAGCGGAGTAATCGGAAAATGACAGAATTTTCTTGATAACCTAATATTTGTTCATTCCAACCTTTTCCATTGTTACTCTCAATTCGTTGTGGAATATTTACGAATTGCGATTGAATAATTTGTACACATGCCCAGATGAGTCTGAATAATATTCACTTTCATCAAACGAGTAGCGTGAGAACTTAATTAACATTATGTCTCCTTATGTTTAGGATCCTCGCGTGCTGCAGTTTTTATTTTCCTACAACGATGGTGTTGATGTATTGTTACGGTTCAGCCTTCCACGTTAACAAACTGCGTCTCAAGAGGGTGGTTTGCATTAATACTCCGGAAGTCGTTAGGGGAGGCCATATGGAGCGGGTAAGTTTGCTTTCACTTGAAACTCCGATCAATAAGATGAAATTAAAGGGTGTTGATTGAATGACCTTACAGAATTATTCGGGTTCATTCATTCCCCCATTAATTTCTTTACGCCTGCACAAACTGTTAATACATGCTTTTCATTAGTTCTTTGGAAAGTATTGTAACTACTGCATTGAATATTTAAAACGTTCATAATATTCAAAAATATTAGTACGATTCAAAGCATAACTTTGCAACAATTTACAAGTCAAGTCATAAATCATTCGTTTTTACTGCTGACTGCTGATTGCTTATATAGTACATATGTATAAATTACTGATTAAAAATACTCGGTAAAGTGTAACATCATGCAAGATCTTGAGACTGCCATAAATTTTTAACATTTAATGGGCAGCCACTTCAGATTTCCATCCGCTTATAATTTTCACTTTTCTTCTGTCATAGTTTCTCGATTGATTGAAAACCGGGATTGAGCTTTTTGCTTAATGAGTTGTTGCATTTAGCAATTTCGAATACGTCTCACTATCTAACAATTTTAAACATTGTCAGCAATGAAAGTAGCGTTTTTGTGAACGTTGTTTTCTCTCCTTTCAATAATTAGAACACGAATAATTACTTTTTGTTTAAAATCTGTCAATAGTTTTAATAACATTTATACGACAAGCGTTATGAAAAGTGATATATCTTATTTGTTTCACGAAGACCAGTACGTTGCTGTTTCTGACCATGAGAAGCAAAATATTACTAAAAATTCGAAATGATTTTTAAATTTCTTTCATGAGACAAATAAAGCTTAACCGTTTTGAGTACCACGTTTTTCTATTTCTACATAAGAAAATTCTAAACAGTGCAGTCGTTCCATTCTTCCATTTCTAAGTAGGTAATTAAGAAAATACAAATAAATAGCTAAAACAAAAATAAATAAATAAACCTAATTTGATTCTACGAACCGATAGGCTGGTACTTTTAGACGATACAATGGAAAGACACGATCGGCACGCTTGACACTCAAACAGTTAATGGAACGTTATTATACAAATGAATTTATTTAACTGCGGACTTTATTATATTTAAAAACAAAAGAAGCAACTTTAATTATCTATTACCTTTCATAAAAAGCAGAGCACGTCGTTAAAACTGAATTCAAGCATCTGAAAGTAAAGACTTCACTGTTTAAAAAAACGTCAAGTAAAATGTTGTGTGATTTTTTTTCGTAATGCTACGCCACTTCTAATACAGACAATTTTTTGTATCAAAGTTTAATGCTGTTTTAATTTCATGACGTAATATGGACAAACTCGGCAAGTGAAAAAGTTTGTGAACTTGTAAACGTAGTTTCAATAACAACTTTACAGTGTTAATCTGAGTTACTTCCGTTTTCCACTGATTTTTTTCTCAAGCAGACAGTAAAAAATTTCCTGACACTTCTGATCATATCGTAACTCGGTTGAAACATATCAGTATAAAATTAACCCTTAGGAACTCGATTCTAACTTGTTCGAGGCTTGATTTTTTTAGATATACCTGTGCATACCTAGAGAATATCTAGGATCATATTGGGAATATTATAGAGACATCGGTGCTCTCTGCATAGAGTGTATGATACGAAAATACCATCCATTAAACACAATGATTTTAAAAGTAGAGTAATGCTCGCTTAAATTCCACAAAACTTGCTCGGTTAAATTTCACTGGCACTACATTTGAGAAGGTAAGGTTAAAATTACTGCAATTGAAATTTTCTTCGTTGCATGTTTATATTTGACGCATGCGGCATCGCTTTGCAATTCTGCATCTCGACCCCGATGCTTGACGGTCTGTGTCTATTCCGCTTCCGCTCGCTATATTGATTCTCTGTCTCTGTCAGGCTATGATCAAGTCAATTCCTGGAATTGCTGGGACCTGAAATTGTGGAATTTAAGCGAGTATTACTCTATCAAAATACGCAACTTTTATCTAGTACGATACACCAGTACGGAACACTCTCTCAACTTCCCTGGTTCAGTAACCATTCGATGCTAAACAGTGTTAAACTCCTTCACTATATCAACAAATAGTTGTAGCGAGTTTGATGATAGCGTAGCACCAAGTTTATCAGAAACACATCGTCTGCACATTCTCCAGGACCTGCAGACCCAGCACAGAGCCGTGACGTTAGTCATGAACGTTAATCTATCTGGCGAGCTTATAGGCTTCGAGACCTTAGAATCAGCTTCGTCCCGGTGTCTCTTGATACATGAAGTTTGAGGCATAATTAAATGAAATTGGAGATCCTGTATTAAGGGTTATTCCATGCAAAACCCTTCACGCAAATTGTCAGTCTCTGTGCGGTCTCCGCTTTGAAAGAGCGTATCAAACTTCATCGGGTGTGACGTGAAAGGGAAGAGAAAGGTTCTGTTAGTCGTAATGCTCTGCCAGAAGCCCTCTCGAAGAGAGTTTGGTTTCACTCGTTATAGAATTATCACAGCGACCAAGATCAATATACTAGAACTCTTGAGTTCTGCTGTAGTCAAAACTGCACTACTTACAGTTTGAAAGTGACTGACACTAATTCAGCCGAGAATGTTGCTATACAGTATTCTCGCGATCGGCACCCGAAAATCGGGACTGCAATCGAGAACTAATCGCACAGTGGTGTTGATTCCACTCTGCTTGTCCTCTGTAGAAAAGGACGACGCGAATGAGAGAGCAAGGCATCCGAATTCTTCGAATCTTCGGAACGATCGAAATAAACAGATGAGTGAGGATATTAACGCAACGTTAAACGTTTTTATTTCTTACTTTTATTGACTGAAACTTTTATAGATTGAATTGTGTGGTTTTTTGATTAAAATGAGATCAAGCGCGATATATTTTGGAACATGTATAGTCATTTGATGAATTACAATAATTTATTTTCTTCTAGTAAATTGCGGTATTTGTCTACCACCGTGACATAAAACTCTGTACAAAGAATCTGCGCATAATTGAAGAATGGTATTGATTACCAACTGTTAACGATACATTTAAGCGCGTAATAATCGTTTGCTTATCTTTTTGTGTATATAAGAAAACAAATTGTAATATTGAATTCGAATACATTATTGTAATTAGTTATGTTTTTGTGGGATTATCATGGAAAAATGTAATAATTTTTTCCAGCAATTGATAGTAAGATAGGGTAATATAGGGTAACATATATAGGTTAATATAGGGTATACCTATTACAATATGTTTGGAAATAATTAAAATACTGATTTGATATTAAAGGTGTTTGATATATTGGATGTGTATTTATACAAATATTCTTGTAACGGACAAATATAAAAATATGTGATCTAACACGACGATCGTACCGAGCTTTAATTCTCCACAATTTGTCACTGATTTCTATGTCTCTTTCTAACTGCAGTTCTTATACGTTTTTAAGTAAAAAAAAGTTGGGGGAGATAGAGTTGAAACTCCACGAAGATGGAGCGATAAAATATGTAAATCGTCTGTAATAAATTCTAATCGTGGCTGTGGAAGCCACAACCATTCAGCAATGAATCTTATAATCGTTAATAATGAAAGGTGAGCATTCAGAAACGACATTTTTGTTCAGTAACATTGCGAATTTTTATGTATTTATGGGACATTTTTAAGTGTACAATTACACAAAATGCACACGATATGAGAAAATATATAAAACACTAAAAGTATAACGCTTTTCATAATCATGCTTTATTAGAAAAAGACCTTCTTAATTCTGTTTTTATAATTGTGTTCTTAAAATTTTGAATTCGCGTAAAGATCAGCGGTCTAGTTATGATACTCTTTCGGTTTTCCATAACTGTTTTAGTCGGAACCGAAATATAATAGTTTGAAATGGGTATTTCCGGAATCCAGACCGTGCCGGATAATTAAATACGCCGGGTGACGGGACCACATACCCCGATGAAGTGATAAAAACAAAGAAAATAATTGAAAGAAGCGCCATAGATAATGTAATAATGCATTTCATTAACAAAAATAAAATATACTTTAACACAGTTTTTAATTGTGTTACATTTTCAACATCTGCTTGCTCTACCATACATCCTCGTAAATAAAATTCAATATCCGGCGATCTTGCGTAGAGTAAATTGGAAACAAAAAGTTGTGGAAAAATTTAAGAAATGAATCAGTAGAAATACAAATAGAATTCGTTAGTATCTTATTAATTATTCGATCAAAATCCTGCGTGCAGCAACAAGAACACTAATTTCAGTAAACTCTGTTACGAAATGCAGGAAATTAATATTGTGCAGAGATCTACTGTCTTTTGGACCACATCACTACCGAATGTCTATTAACACGGATAAGACGGTTCTTATCGTATTCAGTCATGCACTAATGAATTTTCAAAGCTGATTTTCTCTAAAACAAAGCTTTTGTCAAAAATATTTGGTGAAAGAGATAGTTATTATTCTTCAACAGAAATTACATGAAATACAGTTACATTATGATTTCCAATGCAATCTGTATTATGTGATATAATAAACGAATCCTTTTAACACGAGAAAGTTTCGAAACAATAAATATTTATCTCGATGACAAGGTATCGCGGTAATGCTGGAAGTCGTAGAAAGGGCGAACAGTTGCGTAAAATTGGAAAGACTAACAGACAAACGTTACAGTGATCATTTACAAAGGAAACAAAATACGGACGATCCAATCACAAGCCCGAGTGAGCAGGACGTCGTTTCATCCTCAGAAACAATAGGCATGCCAAGATTACTTGAGCCCCGAGACCCGGTGGAAACATATGACCCTGTCGAATCTAGAAGAAAGGAAGAGGAAAGGAAAGAAACTCACCCACAAGATCTCTTTAATCTCTTTGGAAACCACTTCCCGTCTTATAACTCTTATCGCTGAAACTGACAATTATATCTATCTCAAAGATCACATCGAAGATTTTATCTCTGATTTCAATCGTTTAATAAACTCATTATATGAACCATTCTTCTGAAACGTAGGAATAATTCTGGAAGAAAGTTCTGATTGCTACTATTATTTCATAAAATATTCATATTTTATTATACGCTGACATAGTGAAGTCACATTGTTTGGGACTGTTTCGGGCTATTAGGTATGATGAACCGGGAAGTCCAATGCTTTTTCAAGAATTAATGCCGGCGGACCGCGTTGAATGATCGAAAGTAAAGGTTCGAGAATATATGATTTATTTGCCGGTTGAATGTCGAACATAGTTGACCCTTTCGACGCACAGTGCGGCCGCCTGTGACCAATCCCCCAAATTCGACTATTCACATAACGAAAATTGAAGAGTACCAATGTGTTACTAAGTAGTCCCTGTTACACAAAATGATTGTTTCAAAAATAAAAAAGTTGTGTAAATAAATTCCGTTTCTCTACTTGTATAACGTTCGAATCAAAGCACAAAATATCCATTGTCATTTAAAAAACTTCATAATGTCCCCATAATATAAACAAAAATATAATCATCATATGTTTAGCTCTATATCTTACAATTTTTGTACGAAGTATTTTTTTGTATCACTCATACTTTTTAAGTTACTAAGTTTTGTCCAGAAAACGGCCGTTTGGCCGCATTCTGCGGCGGTTGGAGACGAAGTGGCGATAACGTTTCTCCCTAATTCGGAAAACGTCCCCGATTCAAGGGTTACAATTGGTGTGAGGGATTTCTCGGGCTGATGGTGTTCGGCAGATGTAGAAACGGCCTGGCAGATTTCTTTAACCCCTTGACCTACAATATCGCGTCAAATTCGTGATGAAAATATTAAACTAAATTTGACAAATCTAAGTGTTATTTATTCTTTAAAAATCTAAATTAAACATTAGTTTTCTATTACTAATCGTTACTATTTGGAGTAAACGTACACATAAAATAAGCATTGGAATTTTTTCTCTGTCTAATAAATTATTAATGATAAAGTAATTATATCGATTATAGTTCTGAAATAAATCGTAGTGCAAGGGGTTAAGATGTACAAGGTAGAAAGAAATGATTGTACTTCCCTGTTGCAGCGTGATTCTACACCTTCGGTTTGATAAAGTTTGAGGTAAAGAAGCTGCCGCAAAATTACTTCTGATCTTGACAAAAAGGGTTAAAATTTGTTATTGTCCAATCGTATTCTACTTATTGCGGAGACAAATAGTCTCAAAGGAACCATCGATAAAAAATGAATAATTTTCTTGTAAATCGCTGTTGAATTTTGCGTGAGAGAGTAAAAGATCGTGATATTATTGTCCTTTTCTGGTACACTCCGTCCTTAACCTGTTAACTGTAGAATTTAGTTTGAAGAATCTCATAAAATGAAAAAAATGGAGTGTGCACTTGTCGAACGCAGGACGAATGCACCTAGGATATATTTTAATGAAAAACAATATTAGCATCGTTTCAAGCTTTAAAATGACGTGTTAACTCGTTAAGGAAAATGGAATCGACATTGTTTATTGTTCGGGCCGTCGCCGCGGTGAGTGATATGACCATTTTCACCTGGGTAGCGGCGATAATTCTTTTATTAAAGATGCGTAACAACACTATGTAGTCAACTCAATAGTGATCAAATTTTTAAGCAGTTCTCGCATTTTATAGACATTAAGTTTTCTTAATGCTGGGAGGACACTAAATGTAATATTTAGACGGTACTCAAGACGCTAAACCACTTAGCATAAACCGTGTTCAGCCAGAGCAGCAATTCATTTACATTTACTTTCTATTGATATTTAAATTAATGATAACGATTAATTATCCTAATGAGAATCTAATAGCCAGACTTAGTAACCTTAATAACTAGTAACCTCAGTAACTAGACTTAGTAACCTTAATAAAAATAAAAAGTGGCGTAGTCAATGTTATTTTATTCTAAACTAAATTTCTCAGCGTTAAACGAACGAAATGTTATTAATTCCAGCTTGTAGATCACGAAAGACGGCTGTCAACTTCTGCCTCAAGGACAATGGCTGCGATGAGTTTAGGATTCATTGTTATGGTCACGCCATGGACAATTCAGGAAGTTGTTGCAGCTTGTACCGGAAGTAAACCACCGCCGTTCCTTGACTTTCTGGCCACATGGCTCGCCCTGTCTAATAGCTTTTGGAATCCATTTCTATACTGGCTATTCAACAATCATTTTCGCCGGATTTCTAGGGAACTACTTTACACTAAAGTGAGTATAAATAACAATGTATTCAGTTAATGCTTTTACTAAATTGCTTTTTTGTATCAAAATTTATGCTTATTTCGTTCATTTCAGAAATTATTTTACAATTTTAAGGGACAACAAAATGGTTTAATGATTTTACTGATTGTAATATAATTAAATAATTCACTACAGAACATCGTGGCATACAACAAACTTTCCGTAACATGTTTTGGAAAGCAGTAGTGAAATTAGCAAACATTTACTTTGACAATATGCAAAGAATAATTAACATAAATTTAACTGCAACAAGAATTGTTGATAAATGTTATTATATAATCCTTTGTAAATGTTCCAACAAAAAACGAGATCATCTGTGGTACAGGTGTAATATAAAAAAAGTATCGTATCGTAAACAGTGATAAAGTGATCGAGAAAGGACGTGGTACGCCGATTTATTCGATCGTATAGGGTTTCCATAGAACAGCACGATGCCAGTACTCTTTTTGTTATTTAACGACCTTCTTTTCCATTGTATTTTGCAACCATTTTCTTGCTATTCATTGATTTAGCATGTCGTCGCGATACGTTACGTTACGTTGACCCTAGTAACAGTAACGATCATATATCTTCGTGCTTCGACTTTACAGTCCATGAATCTCGAAAAGCTTGTCGGTGCCCCGTAAATTCTACTCTCTCCAAGATCGTTGCACGTTTCCACGCCGTTTCTACTCGTCATTGATGTATTTTCGTATTGAGAATCATCGTTATCATTCATTACTCTTTTCCATTAAAAATTAATTTCGCTTGCTTTCGCATTCAGATTAAACGTTCGAAATATCGATAATCAATTTATTCAGAAACTTGTATTTATAACAAGTAGAGTGCGGATGTTTGGCACAAAAATATGTCAAAATGTGCAAGTAATATATGTTGAATATGGATCAATAATATGTTAACATATACAAGAATATACAAATATATGCTACATGTACTGGAAACATGTTATAATGATTGCATTATTCAAACAGATTTGAGATTTTCAAGTGTTAATTGATGACGTTTATCGCTTAAGGTCAACTTATAAGTTGAGAACGAACGTTCGTCACAAAATGTGATCGGGGAATTTTTAAACTTGCTCCAGTAGCATGCTTTAATCTCATTCAGTTCTTCAATTATCTGACCTCGCAACATTTCACTAATTTTTAAAACTGTTTAAAAACCGAGATTTCTGGCTAAAACTGCATTCTATTTTAACACAATTTCATTGTCACATATTGGGTACTGGACAGGTTTCTCCATCATTCACAATACTTTTTCCTGTTATTGAGTCGATCCAATTTTGTATTTCTTGTTTTAAGATAAAATACGTATCGGATTATTTAACTGTCCATATATGCAATAAGTTGGTTAGGGGTTGCTAAAGCAATGTGAACAAATTATTGAAAGAAAAAATGAGCACTTATATGAACTACGAAACAGTGAGTTAAACATTTTTTAGTTTATAAATTATCTGTGTAAACGATAAATGAACATAATTTTAAAGTGAAAACACTTGCGTGTATATTTTTACGTAACATATGTGACGGTATTTTCAATAATTAAGATTACAGTTTATAGATGATTTAATTGATTTCTGTTTTTCTTATTTTTGCAGATATTATGTAGACCAAAGCCATTAGGATCGAAACAGCATTGTTGCGCGACTAGCACAGGCGGTCTTGACGTTTGCAGTATGGGTGGTGTCGACTTATCAGGTATTATATTAAAAAATATTGTAATATACCCGATGTAAAGTTTGAGATTTCGCACTAATACTTAATACAGTGCTTACACAATAATGGCAATTTAATGGAGAACTTTTTAAAATAATGAAAAAATTGAAGTTATGCTTAAACGTTTATTGCAAAGTATCTGATTCAATATGATTAAATTAATTAAACAAACTGATGATACTAAAAAAATCTAAAAAACTTTTTATTTGTATTTGTATGTAATGTATAGTTTTATATGCTCGAGACACTTTGTCTACATAATTAATGAGAAGATACTTTTTTACAATATATACACAAATGAACATGACATTTATAAATTAATATTTCAACGGAATCATATAAACAGATAATATCATTCTTTAAACCCTTGCCATACAATGAGTGAAATTCTTGATGAAGATTTTGGGATTAGTTTAATAAACATCAATGTTGTTCAATGCACATGAATCAAAGCAAAAAACTATTTTGCTATTACCAATATATTATCTTGAAAGTAAATTTGTACTTAAAGTGGTGTGGACAATTTCTTTGCGTTTCTTCTAAACTACGGATAGAAACATTTTGCACGAGCTTACTAGCAAAAGTAAATAATATGGCAAGGGGTTAACTTAAATACTTTATTTAAAATCAAATTATATCTATTATCAGCATACTTTCTTTTTTAGGTTTAGAACGCTGTTCAATTGACCGTTGTTCAATGGCTCGGTGTTCCTCATCATCATTAACTAATACGCTACCGCTCCCTTGGGAAACCGGGCACATTGCACACAGTGATACTACACCTACGTGAGGTATTGTAGACAAATCATTTTTAATATCTTTAGATAGAGAACAAAGTACACGGCACTATGAGCTTTATTTTCTATCGTTACATCTCACTCCGCCGCATTCAGTCTCACTTCCACCCTTTGTTACTGCCGCGCAGCCAATTTAGAGGGCCAGACATAAAAATCTGTTTTTGAATGAAACCCTGTGCATGGTACAGTGTTTACATGTTTAGTGATGGAAAACCCTCATGGCTTTTTTGTCGATAGTCCTCCATTTTCGAGAAAAATGAGTTTCTAGTTTATATGTTACTGTAATAAGACGACAAATAATATTACAATAATAAAATACAAGTTATTTAGAGTTTATAATTCAAAGGAAAACAAAGAAAATGGGGATAAAAAAGAATTCTAATATAACATTAACAATTATATAACATATAAGCTTAAAACTCATTTTTCTCGAAAACGGAGGACCATTGTCAAAAAAGCCATTATGGTTTCTTATTTCTAGATATGCACTATAACATGCGTAAAGTTTAATTTAAACACAGATTTTTATGTTTGGCCCTCTCCTTCTTATCTAACTATTCATAAACTGAAAAATCACAAGAACAAGAGAAATCGGTCCCATCGTTACATCTTATTTAGTTTCATTTACATCTTGTATTACTGCCGGCCAGTCAATAAGAACCTCGTGTCGAAACCTAGTCAAGTTCGTGTATCATAAGTGGAAGAGTCAGGAAGTATCAAAGACAAACATAAACACGTACCTTACAACTGCATATTCTAAAACTTATAAGACTAAAGAATCCAATGAAAATTAGATGAAATATGGTTTAGACAATCAGAAAACAATTCAAACTGATATTTTTGATTGAAGTTCGTTTAATGAATTGTTTAATCTTGTGTTTACAGGTAGGAATGCTGCCACGCAAACGGAGGATTTGAGATCTCCAACTCAAGTTAGTTAGTATAGCGTGGCGGCAGAATGGCATCCGATACATCGTGACGTTCAACAAGTACAACGGTCATCTCAAATTTTTCGAAACAATTCATCTTCTTTGCTACGTGGATACCCTTCGCACGTAGACTCAGCAGACGTCGAAGAAACGGCACAAATTCAATATGATTATCGACTTCAGTTGGAGAATACTCGTTTCAAGAGTATGCCTGATCTGATTCTAGATCTTGAACATAATTAATATACATGTAATCTCAGGTACTTCATATTAAATATAAGCGAGTTAGGCATGCCAGCAAAGTTTGCCAAATCAAAGCGAGGTTATCGATGATCCTTATTACTAACTGAAAAGTGATCAGAATTTTATATTATAGGGTATTATTGTCTAATGGAATATGACAGAACATACTTCTTTGAAACAAGAGGTTATGGTTTTTTCATAATTTGCATTAGAGTCAAAATAACTGCCTTCGGCATTAAAATACCAAATGAATAAATAAACAAATACATAAATAATTAAATAGAAGAATAAATGAATTAATGTAGTTCAACGTGAAGCTCTTTTAGATATGACTTTTTGCATTACATCAAAGTAATGTGAAACTAGAGAATTTTGGAGATTATTGTATATTAATGTTACCATTAGCTTTAAATGACATTAGCCTAAAAACGCATCAATGGAACTCACATATTTATTATTTGTCACAAAAACATGATCATGATAATCGCACAAATTGCAAATAAAAGTTAATATTTACCATCTTGCTTTTGCATTGTTTTATTGCTCTCTATCACTTAGGTAATAATATTCATATTGTTCTTCTTCGGGCACTAAAGTTATAACAACGTATTAATATAATTATTTTTAAATTATTTAATACAATTTCATATTTAATTTAATGTCATTTTAATTATTTATTAGTTTGCTCCTATGTTTCGGGATTTCATTATTTAATTACTTGAAAATACGGTGAATGCTTGCCAAATGAAAACGTGTGCTTTGTCACAGTAGAAATAAAGATATTGAGGGTACCTATAAAGTAATGTCGTCTCGATCCGACGTTTGTCGTTGAATCAATGCTGCAAACTTCGTGTGAAACAAGTCGATGATCTATTAGCACTAAAGTGACCTCAAACACTATCCTTGAAAGCTGCTTAAAATTACTGGAAGATTAAATATCATTTAAAAAGAATGAGTTCAAATAAACTGATGAAAGAGCATATCCGACATTGTATGCTTTACAAACTTCGTAAAGGAAACAGTGCTACGTTACAACAATCAATATTAATAGCGTTTATAAGTGTCCGCAAATGTTAATGATGGCTCACAAAACTTTAAAACAGGAACTTCGATGAGAGATCAGGAAGTCCGTCCCTTCTTAACCCTTTACGGTCCGAATTAATTTTTCCTATTCCCAGTAGTCCCGCAAAAAAAATCAGAGAACTTGATTGGAAAACTTTAGTACATCCGCCCTTCTCCCCTGACCTAGCCCCATCCGATTTTCATTTATTTAGATCTCTACAGCATTTTTTAGATAGTAAAAAATAGTTCAATTACAAAGATGTTAAAAACAGAATACAAAAGTATTTTAATGAAAAATTAAGAGATTTTTGTAAAAGGGACATACAAAAGCTCATTTCCAGTTGATAAAATGTCATAGACAATTACGGCGACTATCTCATTGACTGTGTGTTTCATATATGATTTAAAAAATTTAAATAAACGTTAATTTCAAGAAACGACATTACCTATGGATACCCCTAATAGATTCATGTCTTCATTCTAGGATAATAGTATCTTTAAGAAGTGTAGGTTTGCAGGAATTCATGTTTGAAATGAATTGTATATGCGTATAATGAACCATACAGTTAATGCTCACAAGTTCATGTCGTTGTCAATTCTAAAACAAGGACAATATTTTCACAAAATAACAATTAGCGATTATTAACATCTGTAATCAGACAATTAACAGGTTCATTTTCACTCTTACAATAGTGTATTTGAGAGACTTCTGGCATAAACTTAAAATCTGCACGGGAGTTTTAAGTAATGAGATTTTCTGTCTAAGATTCGAAGATATCTAGGATACTGATACTATTTCAGTACAATATAAATCATTCACGAATCTTATTCGGTTAGTACAGATTAAGCATTCTATATCCTTCACTGCTACTGCATGTACTTAATTTAACTTGTTGGGATCATGTAACATACAATGGGGTTACTTGAAAGAGGGAAACATTATTTATTGAATATAATGTCACAGAAGGACAGGTCTTATTGTTTTTTGAGCATAAATATTTCTATGCATACGTTTGTTTCATAAATTATTCTACATGTATAATTATATTTTCATATGTGTAATTATTTCGAGTAATTATCTTCAGTTACTAAGGGTTATTCAAAAGAATTATATTCTAAGAATCTTCCACGTGAAATTAGCGTTGTAAGAATTTTGTCTGTGAGACACAGTGAGCGTGAGGGACATCATATTGTACATATGTAGTAAGTACATTAGAAGTAATGATTTCGAACTAATTTGGAAATATTAAGTTTTTAAATAAAGTATTTAATAATAAAATTTCCTTAAAATCAATACACTGTAATAGAATGGGAAAAAGGGAAATTTGATATTAATATATACTCAATAATCTATAGTGTACTATTAAAATCTTTCTTGGTCTTTTTATTGGATAAATACTGTGTAGGATAATTGAAACTACTGTTGTACAAGACAAATCATAATACTAACCAAGTTTTCAGGACGTAACTTAAATTCACAGTGTATTTCAATATTTGAGTGTACGTATATTAACGTATCAATATATTGATTTGTGTAATTTTTAATGCAATCTCACTCGCAGTTACATACATTATTATATTAATTGCCACCCGCATTACCATTTAAAATCCTAATTACCACCAGCAACAAATTACTTTTAAAAAGGATTATTAATAGAATTTAATGAATTTTATTTCAGGGGTGTGAAATTGAGAGTTCGTGAGCTCCATAGTGACCTTGCCCTCACTCTTCCATCCTATTTTTTTAACACTACATAGAGCTGCTCACACACAGTCACAGGCAGCTTCTAGAATAATGGTAGTGGAGGAACACTGATCGAGAGTCACTAACACGAAAGAAAGCAGTTCGACATCTCTAGTTTATTTTCATGTTCTGTTTATACCAGATGATATAACTTAGCAGAAGATATATGTTTCAGGTTTTTAACACTAGGTTTACGGACATTTATTGTACAGTTTATTCCATTGTCTCTAGAAAATTGGATGTTCGTTTATTCGGAACTTGTAGATTAGAGGTTTAAAAGTAGACAATTATCGAAACATTCGTACAATCGCATCAACCAAACTCGACGTAAACATTTACTAAATAATATTTGTGAAGCTTAACATGCCTCAAATTGACGCGTTCCATAAACCTAGTATTGCTAAAAATACAAGACTAATTAATGCAAGGGTATCGAAGTGGATGATCACTACCTTTTTAGGGTATTTCCTCACAAGGAGAGTTATCTTTTACATATCTACTTTGACCTGTTTGAATTGACTACTACAATGCAACTCTCACGCTTGAGGAACGTCCATCAAGCTAAAAGTGTACAGGAGCAAGGAGAATCTGCCGCACACTCCACCGCTGTCCTTCCAGGTAACATAGTAACCGAGCCTCCGTGTCCCCGGGATTTCATAAACATAAAAAGCTGCCGTTACGCAGAAACCAAAACCGGCGATAGTGTTCATATATCTCATTTCATCACATTTCATTTCGTTTGCGTAAAAATTCAAAACCAAACAAATTACAACCTCCAGATACAGACTACAAACTAATGGATCGTTGGTACGAAGTTACATCGTTTTTACGGAATATCTCAAACATTAATTAAAAACATACGAAGACTACCTGGCTGAATTAATAACTATATGGCACAAATTCGTAATATAGCCACAGAACACGTATAACCATCCCATTCAAACCTAAGCCTAAGTGTTCCACATTCTAAAGAGCAGGATCACCCTCACCCTTCTACGGTGTCCTGATAAGAACTCGAAACCCTATATAAACAGGACGTCGAGCCTATAGAAATCACAATCTCACGTCCATGCACCAATGAACGCAAACTGGTATTTCTGAGAGAACAAAGAGCATCGCAGTCCAAAGCGGACAAATCAGGAATTGTAGTAAAATAACACTGAACTGGAAAAAGTAGAAAAAAAGGAAAAAGACAACCATAGCAACCCAGACAACAAATAAGAAGGACACTCGCCAACAACTAGAGGAACTTTTCGAAGTGACGGATGAAAACATACGTAACTGAATATCAGGGGAGCGATGTCGTTAATAAAACCCGTCAAAACTCATAAGACCACAATGGCCTCTCGATGCAATGTAACGGCAGTTGAGTCATCGTTCACCGCGTGGATCAGCGCGGAGGAGCACTCAGAGGAGGTGAAACCCTACCTCCGAAACTTCTCTTATCACATGCACCAACGGCATCAGTTGTGCGTGCCGATGCTGAACAGCATGCAACTTTCTGGTTTCGGGGAGAGATCACAGAAGTCCACGCAGGAACTGTGTCCGTACGGCTCAGAGACCTGGAAATGTTTGTCACCCGAGAGGTCAGCGAAATACGGAGCCTGCCACCACGCTATCGAACTATGCTTTGGCAGTTACGGCAGATAACCTTGGCAGGTATTCGCCCATGGGCAGTGACAAACTGAAGAAAGAACACGAGATTTGCAACCTTTCTCATGGAGTGGAGAAGGGGTAGCTTCCACGAATCCACCGGCACTGAGAGCGGTCGCACCCTAAGACTACTGATGCTCGATCGACAATCGGGCCAACCTCCGGTGGACATGACGGAACATTGGGTACAAGTGGGATACGCTGTCCGGATCTAAAACGACGACGACCCACTACCCACCACCACTCCACAGCTAGAGAATAAGTACACGACACCACACACTGCACTCGAATTTAGATTCCGTTGTCCGTAGGACGTTTCCCACATCACGCACATCGTGATGTTTTTTCTTAGGAGTAGAGAGGGGAAAAGGTTACGTGCGGAAAATGCTTTTTGTATGACTCTTTGGTCTTTGGTAGGAAGCGATCTATGGGTAACCTTTTAACCCTTCGTGTAAACAATTGCTTTGAAATAGACCAACTGGACTAGCAACTGCGACAATGCGTCATACCGCTACTCCTATTCATTTTTTGGGGTATGTAAATCCATTAATGTTTACCCTCATCGGTTCAAACTGAGAAAGACTCCTGTGTTGTTACGTCGGTCCACGTCAGTTAGAAATCAGTTATGTCGATTTCTTATTATTCTTTTGTCTAATCGTTTGGCATACAAAATTTTACATGGAGAGAAGGCAGTGGTTGTAAAGTTGTTTGTATCAAATTCGATGCTATATCCTTTTATTATTCGTTTTTTTTCCACCATATGCTTGGAGACAAAGGTGGCGGTGTCCAGTTCTGCTAGTTTCGTCGATGTGATGGCCTTATTTGCCTCCAGATAGTTGTTGAAAGTTAATTTCGCCTTTCCCATTCCTTTGGGAAAGAGGATTTGGTCAAAAATAACATGTTCCGGAATTTGTTGGGTTTAGTTACTTCGGGATTAACCTTTATTTCTATCAAAACCGATCTTTTGTGAGTGGTGGGGTATATACTGGTTGGTTGGTTACTGAATAGAGTGTTATTGTTAAGCTTGCGCGAATTCTCGTCTATCTTTGGAGATAGGTATTTTCTTTTCATCGATTCCTCCAACGCTTTTTTGTTGGCATTTTTTTGGGAGAAACTGTGCACCATTCTTCTTCCTTATCTATATCCACGATTGCGTTTTTCCTTACCGGAATTGCCATTATTGAAGGAAATAATAGCATTGTGCATTGGCGACATCTATGGAACGGTAGATGTAGCCGCCAGCAGAATATCTTCGTTTATTTAACAGATCTACTATTTATGTTTTTCTTAATGGTGCTGTACAAATAATGTCAGTAATTTCAAAACATATGTAATTTATAATTTTGTCTCCATCAGATCCGATCTCATATACTACGTGCATGCGTGTTTTTAACTTTTTACGTTTGCTGATTTCGCCAAGTTCAATCATCGGTATGAATATAATTAACGCTAAAACTACCAGACGAGTCAAAATGGTCAATTCCAAAGTTCTTCTTTTTATAATAATTAAAAAGATAACAGATGTGCCTCTGAGAATTTATTAAATAAATTTATTTAGTAACATGTAAACTGAATTGCAAATCAATGGAAATCTCAGCTTTAATGCTTTCACGACCTGGAATATTATATTCAAAAGTGGCTTTCGGGTTAGAGTCGTGTCCAATAGGAAATTGTTTCCAGCATTTCGCCATCATTGCAGCTGGCTTTATGAGGCGTTAAAGATACAAAATACATACAGCGAAAAAATGTAGTGTTGCCATCTAGCAATGCATCCTTCAATACTAAGTCTATATTATCAGTGCCCGCTAACTTCCTATAAAACGGATCAAAATAATGAAAATATATGACATTAAAATCACTGACGAGGAAAAGAAATAAACCATCATCATAGATAAGACATAAAAACAGTTTAATCATCTGTACTAAACTATTTCATTGGCCCAGAAATTCAAGATTGAAATACAAAATTGGATCGACTCAATAACAGAAGAAAGTTTTGTGAATGATGGAGAAACTGTCCAGTGCCAAATATGTGACAATAAAATTGTGTCAAAATAGAATGCAGTTTTAGCTAGAAATCTCGGTTTTTAAACAGTTTTAAAAATTAGTGAAATGTTGCGAGGTCAGATAATTGAAGAACTGAATGAGATTAAAGCATGCTACTGGAGCAAGTTTAAAAATTCCCCGATCACATTTTGTGACGAACGTTCGTTCTCAACTTATAAGTTGACCTTAAGCGATAAACGTCATCAATTAACACTTGAAAATCTCAAATCTGTTTGAATAATGCAATCATTATAACATGTTTCCAGTACATGTAGCATACATTTATATATGCTTGTATATGTTGACATATTATTAATGCATATTCAACATATATTACTTGCATATTTTGACATATCTTAGTAGCATAAACATCCGCAATCTAACAATTAACTCACTCATCATTATATGACAAAGGATCAAAAGTCCTTTGAATTCCTAAGGGATAAGAAACAAGTTCCCTAGAAGCCTCCCAAAGATTTCTCGGGACTATGAAAACTCTTCGTTATCCCTAATGATCTCTCGAAGGTTTCTCAGGACTTTGAAAGGAGTTCCGGAAATTTCTGCGGAAGATCTCTGAAGATCCTTTGAGGTTCCCTAGGGACCCTAGCAGGTTAGTAAAAATCTTAAAAGATTTCTGAATATTTCTTAACACGTTCGCTACCAGCGTTTATTTCGATAACGACGTCCTTAATAGTAATATTTTATTTAATACAATAGATCTTCTAAACAAAGTATTAAAAAAATGAAACTGGAATGAGTCATTGAGTCCCTAAATATAATACCGTAGCCTATAACTTTAAACAACAATATCTATTAGAATAATTTAATTTTCTGTAAGTACAATATAAAATTGCGTCCGTTACAAATATGAGGCGCTGGCAGCGAACGTGTTAAGGTCGTCAGATATTCGTTCGAGAGTACAGCAAAACTATTAACGTATTATCCACCGTCTCACTATACTTTGCGATCTAAATCGTTCAGAGTCTTGATTATTCACAAACTCAATAATTCAGATTCATAGATTATGCCATAGGATATACAATAAGATGCAATTTTGCAAACATGCTTTGAAGAATTGTTTACTCCAGTTTCTACTTGTTTAAACTGTCAATCACCTAATTAAATTGAATAATTGAGGTTCTACTGTATTTTGAGATTTTAAAAAATTGTTGAATAGAATTCTTTTCTCAACACTATTGTTCTAAAGTACTTTTAACACTAAACTACCACGACCGGTCAAATGACCGGTATTAAAATTTGATTTAAAATTTTGCATTTTTTTCGATCATTTAACCTTATATCGACTTTTATATTAGCCGATTAATCGGTTTTTCAAATTTTGTCTTTCTTTTCGTTTCTTTTCTTTAAGAAAAATTTATCGTCCACCTTGTTTACCTTTATTGCATAACCGATTATATGCCAGGTTACGGAAGAAATAGTTCATTATATAATTACGGTACATTTAGTGTTAAAAACTATAAATAGGTGTATATACAAGTGGATTTCACATTTAATGTACTTTCATAGTCTAATTCTTTGGGGTTCTGAAACATTACCAACTGTGAATTAGTAGATGAAAATGCAAAAATATATTACAGGCTCTTTTTAACTTTTTGGCATGTATATATCTTTACCTTAAATGCAACAAAATTTGGTTGGTTATTAAACAAGCGAAGAAAAACACCACTAAGAATATCTGTTGATGATATTTTCTCTATCACCAAAACTTTATAAGCAGACATTCAGAAATTCGAAGTTTCAAAAGGTGAATGTAAGAACGAATTAACATTATTAGAATTACCGCGCCCCTCAAAGTGACGGGTTTCAGTTTTCTTATTTCGCAATTATTACTATATTTAAAGTATTAAATATGTTAAATAATTTTAAAACTAAATAGTTTCACTTGAATACTATAATCATTGTTTCATAATTATAAGTCCAAACAACGAGGTTTGAAGTTAAGCAATAATAATGAAACAATCAATAATATTTATCGAATAAAAATTTGTTGCATTTGTATTATACTTCAGTATATAATATAACATATTTTCGGTCATTTAATGAAAGGAATAGTTTTATCTTAATCAATTACACGAAGATAGGTGACAGACGTTGGGTTCCTTCATCTGAGTCCAGTAACCTTGACCCAATATTCATATAACTGCCTAGCAAGGCTAACAGCTCAACTTGACCCGTTACATTGACGGTATTTTGCATCCGTGGTCAACTGCATAAAAGATCGTTTTCTATGAAAAATGACCTAGGACGACAATTGGATTATGTAATACAGGTAGTGAAAGTACAAGAAGATTTAATGACCGTTTGAAACTATTCCGAAATACAATCAGTTGATCATAAAAATATTCCTAGTTTTTCATTCTTCAATTTCAGATAATTTAATGTTACGTAGTTCTTCGTAATTCCTCAGAGCAAGAGAAATAACAATTCCAACCACACAAACAATAATTGACCTTTCCTGTATGATACGAAAAATCTTCCGGTTATATCGTTGACTCGTGTCACTGCCAAACTCTTTTCATAGTCTCCCTTGTCACTTATGTTTTCCATTTTCTAAATGTAGAATTCCAGATAGAAATAAAATTACGTTTGCTATAAATTGAATTTACATGTTACTATTATCTAAACTATCCAATTTTTTATAAAGAAAATTAGAAAGAAATATAACCTATTTATATCATACAGTAGTTTGTATTCTAATTACTAGTAAAAGCAAAATTAGTAAATTCCAGATCTATTAATGACGATGTGGGAAAGTTTATTAATAGTGGATTGTATTAAAGTAGATGCATCACATTGTAATATTCTATTATACGGGGTGTCCCGAATTTAAACATCAGAACTTCAGAACACCCTGTATAGGGTGAATCTATGTATTATAATTTTTATATATAATTCTATCGTTCGTGAAGTAGTTGAATAGTATTATTATTAAAAAGTATTACTTAATTTTATTAGCTATCATTTACTGTCATGTAAAATTTACAAATGAATCTACTTTGTTGATTTTCATCGATATATACGGCTGTAAGGAAATACTTTCTACTTATTGTTGTAAGTAGTTAACTCGCGATATGATCTGTAGAAATAAGCCGCATATCGCGGCCACTTTGCGGCGACGAATATTAATCCGTAGTTCGCCTTCCGGAACTTCTATAATTTCACAAAGGACAATCAATCTATCTATATACGACTTTCGTACTTATGGGTCAAGGTTTTGTTGAGTACTTGAAATTTCGGTAAAACAAATTATCATACACTTGTGCCTTTTATGCATATATAATAGTTCAATTTTTAAACAAGTTGTTTATTTATTAGTTGTTTATTATCGTGAATAATGCATTTCTAACAGTACATTTCACAAAATATACAAACGATACCCAATAGAATAATCGGAAAAGTTAATTATAAATCTACACGATAAAATAAACCGTAAAACATAAAATAAATTTTTCTCATAATGAAGAAATAATTGAAATAATCGACTTCAAAACTTGGGGGACACCCAATATTTCGGTTTTGGCCCGAACAGTCGGGTATCTGACACATTAGGCGGCCCGCACATGTCTAACATTTGGATCCCAAGAAATTTTCAAACGTGATTATTTAAAAAACGAAGTGTCGTGTGAAAAAATGTTATTGTAAGTTATCTTTTTTGTTCTTTTATATAGAACAATTTCCCTACAGGTTGCAGTACGATTTCGGAAGCATACTGTGTATCCTACATTAAAAACACAATCCAAGTGAATTTACATTTTATCGTTGATTTACACCTATGTAAACAATCGGATGTTGTTTTGTAAGATATCACTTCGTAATACAGTTTTTTTATTAACCCTTTGCACACAATTTATTTTCAAAATTGTTAAGTGTAAACTTGTATTTATTTTTTTGAAAATGAATTAAAATAATTTACAGCAGTAGAATTCAGCGTTTTATATTTATTTTATTTATTATTATTATAATAAGATTTAATTTGTATAATCTTCTAAAGTGTAGTAATTTTTAAAGTATTACAAAGAAGGTATAACAAATTTGTATTGTCATCTCCAGCATGACATACGAGTACAAAGGGTTAATTCCAGCTTACATTATTTTATTTAGACTTTCTTGAACTCATAATGTTTGTACTCCGATAACTGTGAGTGATTATAATAACTCGTAAATCCTAACATTGACTGCGTAAATTCAGTGTAAACATCAGTCACCTCTAAGCGTCTGAATAACTTTGTGACCCTCTGTTTTTGCATATTCAATGTATTTCAAGTTGTACATGAATAATCTTGATACTCTTGCTGTATCTTGCTATATCTCTGATATTTTACTATAGTTACAGTATACTACTATATTACTATACTACTTACTATATCTGATATCTTACTATAGTTCTTACATTACCTTACAGAATCAAGTACATCAAATATATTTTCACCACATACGATTTATAACATAGTTTCGTAACATCGTGTGCACACTTTTAACACTAGATTTACAGATGCTTATTGTGCACTCCATTGTATTATCTCTAGAAAAATAGGTGTTCACTTATATAGATCTTAAAAATTAGATCATCTAAAACAGAAGATTAGTATGATTTCATCCATTAAAATCGACTTAAACTATTGTTAAATAATAGATTGACAGTGAATCGCAGTGAACATTCTGTAAATCTAGTATTCAACAAAAATGAAATGCTACTACGAACGAAATTGAACTAATTTAAATAAACATCCAGAGTAGAATAAGGTATAATTGTATTGCACGATTGTCCCTCAGAACTGAACAACTTCCTATAAAGATGAAAATATGAAAATATAAATATCCTCACATAATTGACTTATTGATCATAAAAAACATTATAACTTTCAGAACACTGGAATGCAACATAACACTCTAGCACACAGTAAATTCATTAAATAGTTCATAGTTCGAACAAAAAATCGATAACGAACACTTCAATGCGACAGTAAACAATTTCAAAGATCGCGGAATATGTTGACTTAGTTCCGAAGTTAATTATGCTACACTATTTTGCAAAATATACCCTGACTGATGTTATTCATTGATGTTATGCATCTATAGATGAAGATGAGGGAGTTGGAAGCAATCGTTGCAGCATTATCAACCAGGTTCGCACTCAACATTGAGAAAGGCACTTAATGAAAGTGAGCGGTTTATAAGAGCGCGTACGGTCGAATGTTTCATTCAGTTGGAGTAACGTATCCTACGAGAGCCAGACCTTTTTGTGCTTACTAATACGCAAACTGTTATATAAATGTCCGGTTCTACCAGACGTTAATGGGGATTCTATTTTAGTGCTACTTTGCTCGAGATACTTCATACACGTACCTTGTGTTGTGAAAGTAACAACGATATCAGAAAGACACGTTACATTCCTCCTGACAGTGAATGCCGGAAAGTGTTTTCACGTGGGACTGTTATCGCATAAAAAAATGATGTGAAAGGACACGAAAAATTTGAAGAGATGCGAATTTTGGAGTATCCCATTTTACGAGTTCAAGTACAACATTTTTATTTTGTATCAAGTGGAGGAAAGATAAATGTTACATAAATATAGTGGAATATAATTTAACGTCACTGTGTAATCATAATTTCATGATCAAAATTTATTAATTAAATATACTACTTTTTCGTTTTATGATTATAACCTTCTGATAACATCAAACACAACAAATATGTGTAGAATATATTTTTATCGAGCAACTTATATCAATTTATTCATACACATAATATATACATATAAACAATTAACGGTAGGAGATAATTACTGATAATAAATAAGGCATTTTATCTCCTTATTACTGATAACAAATAAGGCATTTTGTTTTTAATTATACAAATGCAGGAGAAGCTACTTTTTTACTATAATAAAATACATTAAAAGCAAATGTCTGAAAAACATATTGCATGTTACTTAACTTATTTATAAATGAAATTTATGATTTTTATTATATTTTTTCACAGAATTACTTGAATCTACTGAGTATAAACGCAAACATGTTGAAAGAAAAAACTAATGCATCCAAATTTGCACGGGAGTATTAAGTCGCATAGTAAAGAACGTTGGCAGAATTTAATCAAAAATTTCTATTTATTTATTTTGGTATACTGGATGTAATATGGCTCCACCCGAAAAGTAAGTTATTAGTTATTATACCACGATTACTTACCAGAATTATATTGTTATTAAAAAAAGAACTTAGTATTTACCTGCTGTATACTACATTTTTCTGTCTAAATTAAAAATCACATCAAACAATTAAAATAACCTTTCTTGAGTTTAAAAAATTGTTTTTAACAGTTTCTAGAATTCTATACATTATATTCATCAGATGAACTTTAACTTTCGGAGAGCAGATGTTTTTGAGGACATTATTAACAATAATATCTAGCCACATTCAAACTATAAATTATCAATTTTTCCAGATATTTCTGAATATATTGTTGCGAGATGTGTAGATTTTCATATTAACACTTTGCACTCTATAGTTCCTTCACTATTAAACATTCATCATTTTCTAATAAAACATTGATAACATTTTTACAATTACCTTAAAGAGAAATCACATAACAATTATGGAACCAAACTATTTTATTACAATATTTCATGAATCTAATGTAATAAACTAACGATTTAATGTAGTTATAAAAAAGTGAGGTGCTGAATGAAATCTTTGAAAATCTGGGTCAAAATAGATTCAGACATCATCATCGAAAAGAATAAATTTTGATTTTTTGATATTAGTTGTAGTATTTCTTTCTTGAAAAAGGAAACTAGTGATGAATGAGAGAGGCAGGAAGAAAAATACGAATAGATGTAAGCAACTGTTTGTATGAAGATAGAAATAATTGAATCATTATTTCTTTTATTTTTAATATATTAGAACAATACAATTTGCCAAAATTAAATCGTATAGGATTTCTTAAATTGTTAATTATTCTTGACCAAAGTTGTAACATAAATCAGCAATTAAACTAACTTAAATATAATTATCACTACAATACTATTTTAATAATAATAATAGCTTCTCATGCTTTACACCTATTTATATTCGTTTCTTTTTTTTCGTTTCTAAACTGACTTGTATCAGGATCCAGATAATTATAGAGCAATTTACAATGACACTTACCAATAGGAAGGAAATTTACAATAGTAGTTATTGACATATCTTTTCGTTTGTAAGATCTTAAATCGTTCATGTTACGACACAGTTCACGCTTTCATTGACTTAATTTATTTTTTCCATAATTGAAGAATTTCAGCGATTGAAAGAAATTTTCAATTGTTTCAAACATAAAAAGAAACTCTGCATGTATTTTGTTGTTCTTGTATTTTCTACACATTAATGATAGTTTAATACCATCTATAATTGCTGGCTACAATTTCCAGCAATTTTCTAATATTTTTGAAAAAATCTGTATATCATAGTATTGTATAATAATTTATAGTTTTTGCGCAATAATCGATTTCGTAAATCATGAATAAATATCACGTTTGTATAAAACGTTAAGAGCATATTCCACTATATTTATAGGATAACTTTATTTCAGTGAAGAACACCATTTGATGTTAAATTACCAGAATGTAAATTATGCTGAGATAACTCAAGTTGAGAATATTTGCGATGACATTGAAAATAACAATGCACACAAAAAAGATGGATGTAACACATTGGATGACAGCAGTGGCCTGGCAACATATACTTCAAATTCAAAAGGAATACTTGCACAGGTAAAAATTAAAATAGTATAATATCATATATGTGTATATATAAAATAAACATACTCAATATATAACATATAAAACACAGTTATAAAAATGATCAATGTATAATTTCATTATTTGTGGAACTATTTTATATTACCTGCATAAATTGTCACTAATATTAATTATAAAGCTGTTGAAGAAATTCATGACGTAATTTAAAAATAATTTAAACACATTATATCCACATAAATATACAATTTTATAAAGTAAGAAAAGAACAAAGATATTTAAGGTATTCAAGATAAACGGAGCATCTTGTAAGTACACATTCGAAATGATATTGCACATTTTTTTTTAAACGTAGAAAACATATATAAACATGTTAAATTATGATTATTATCGTTTTGAAAAATATTGGACAGGGTTAACTTTGTTGTAACAATAAAAATTTAAACATCGCTTAATTTTTAATCCCGTCTGACCATTCAAAACAAATTATTTTATATAAGTGTACAATACATATAATATTGTGTTGTAGTGTTTGGTTTCTGGTGCAGTTTTATTACTGGCGGCTGGAGGTGGAATGCCAATTGGATATAGTGCAATTCTTTTACCACAATTGGGCGAAGAGAATAGTACAATTCGCGTAGACCGAGAACTTGGATCTTGGATAGGTATGCACACACTACAAAACTAAATTATAATACACGTATTTTCAATAAAAAATTTGCTACCCCAAGTATAACAATATTTTAAATGCAATACTACACGTAACTATGAACATATGCGCATCACATTTTCTTCCGAAATAAATGGTATTCTATAAACATATGAACTTGAAAAAGCAATTATTACTAGCTGTAAGAAAAAATTTTTATTTATGTAAATACCTAACTTACCGGTATAATTTTTTTAATTAAACTAAACTGTTATTGAAATCAATTCGTAATAAAATTAAATAAATAGCTTTTCTTGTCATTTCTGTTAAAATGGACTCTACAGTTCATACTTTTAGTCTATACCATTTTGAAAGAGCGTATTAACACAAGTACAATATCATCCTTATGAATAAAAATTAACAAAAGCACGATTTGAATCAATTAATATTAGTAAGACTTCCTGCTTAATTTAGGTAACATAGCAAATTATTGACCAGTTGAAGTTATTTAATTGAGAACGTATTTAGCATAATTTTTCATGGAAGAGTGACTCACTCGCCATGCTTATATTGTAACTCTAACACATAAGTAGGGGATTGTCTGATATGCTGTCACTGGTAATATAATCTTTCAAGGATTGATTGCCGCACACCTTACGATTTGTGATGTTAAAGAGGAAATAATAGATTAATAATAGACTAAGGGATGATGAAATATGAATAGGGGGTTTTGAGAATGTATATAAATTCCAAGTTGCAAAATTACATTATTTATACAGGTTGTTTCTGAAATGGTAAAACAACCGCATAAAAATTAAATGTATATGTAAAAACAAGTCGAAAAAGTATAATAGAAGTTTCTCATAAGATAGTTCATTTCCAAAATAATCGACTTTGAAACCTTATCCAATAAGGTACTTCATGGTTATAAGAAGTAGAAATGGTGAGTCATGGTCAGACGTATTAACTGATTTCTACTTAATAGTACGGGCGGCTGATAAATTTCCAAACTTGATTATTTCGAAGACGAAGCAGACAAAAACATTTTACACGATGTTTTCTATTTAGTTCTTCCTGTAAAATAATTTTCTTACCAGCTGTAGTACGATTTCGAAAACACCCTGTATATAATATACAATTAGATACAAATATAACAAAGATTTTCATGTGTTGTAATTCATCACTATAAAGGATAATGTAATAATGTAAATTGATTTTGACATTATTGTTGTTTCTATTCACTTTTGAATAAATTTGAATTTATTATAGTAATTCTCATTAATTTCAGAAACATTATTTTGAATGAAACTGATACCTAAAAAAGTCAAGTTTAAGTTAATAGTACTTCAAATTTGATGCATGTTCATTTGAATTTTTAATAATGTTTTATGCTAGAAATATTTATTTCTATATATCAAGTAATCATTACTGGCGTCTAGAAATATTCATTTCCGAAGTTCAAATTGTAATAAAAAACTTATGTCAAAACTTTAACAGTAGTTTGAATTTGCTATTTAAAGATAGTGTTTAAAGTCCGTTGCGTATAATGCAACTAGCAAAGTTCAAGAACTGCCTCACAGGTTTAAGGACAGTCTGCAATCATTTCAATGCTCACTAGCTAACTATATGTACTGAGCCACAAGCATGTGGTCAATAGCAATTGACCTACATAATGTCTGATTGAATAATTTTTATCAATGCGAGTCAAAGCCAAGTGTAATGACCAAGGTTTTCAACTTGTCCTTGAGGTATCTCTAAGTGACAAATCTCTCACGTAATAGTAGACAATTAGATCATGTAGTATGAGGGTGATAATAATATATGTTTATCCTTATGTAAACGAATTTTTTCATTCACAGCTCATATTTATGGTCCCTTTCCTGAAACTTGTTTATGTTAGAAGAATTTTCTTGAAAATTTTATGTTTATAAAATATTTAACTAAATTTTATGATTATGATTTATTAATTATCCGGTGGTGCATACAAACCGAATTTATTGTTGCCTTAAATATTGTAAAATAGCAATTATAATGTTTTTAATTTTTTCAAAATCATTAATGCCATGCTTGAATCATACAATTAAAAATCTATTTTGTTTCAACACGATATTAATGGTGATTTGAGAAAAATGTTAAAATTGTTATCTTTACAGCTTTACAAATAACAAATGTTATTTTACAGCTTCAGTCCATAGTCTAGCGACACCCGTGGGTTCTTTGTTATCTGGCCCACTCTTAGATGGGATCGGTAGACGTGGTTCTTTACAATTATCTGCTATACCTCTCTGCACTGGCTGGATTATTATGGGTGTCTCCACGAATGTACCTTATCTTTTAACAGGTCGAATTGTATCCGGTTTAGCTGTAGGTTTGATGTCTGTACCAGCTCAGGTACGACATAATTTACTATTTCTACTTATATTATATTATTTAGTATAATACTGTATATAAAATTTTTATAATAAACATAATATTATATAATACTTTCAAACAACAAAAGTTTAACCTTTCGAACTTTTTAGAATTTATTATACTATATTATATTACATTATATTATATTATGAAATGGTACAGTTAACTTTTGGAATTTTTACTATAATTTCTTCCATTTCACTTTGTGTTCGTGTATACTATTGATTATATCTCATAGAAATTGTAATGCAACCAACATACACGGTGATATATGCAAATACAACACATAAATACGCGAGTGTTATCGCTGTTCCAATTACGATTAAATACGATAAAATCGAATGGTTCAAAGAATTTTACAGTTTGGGGATCATATTTCCTTTGCAAGTGCAATGACGCATGTACAATATATTTCGATATAAAAGCATTCAAATAAAAATGTAAAAAAATTATTCTGTTTTCCTGAAATATTTTAAACAAAATAAACTTAAAAATATACATGTGTACATGTACAATTATCGTAAATATTTAAAATTTTGCTCGTATCAAAACCGTTATATAAAAATTCATGGAACACATTCATATATGAGTCAATTGTCCACTTTGATTGCTCTCGTTGAACGTATGAATGAGTCACTAAACTGCAGCGATGACTTGCATTAAACGCACGTCTACATCGTTCATTGCACCTTAACCCTTAGAGTACCAACGGGATACTTCGTCCCAGAGCGTACTTAAAAATTTCTGGTGAGCAAACAAACCTTTTGAATCGTACCATTATCCATTCCAATGGTGATGAGATGCACTTTATGGAATAAATCAGTTATTTAATATAAAAATGGGAATTATTCGATCATTTGATTAGTTTATTACAATTTACGTCTAATTATTTATTTTAACTCAATTTTGTCCGAAAGTCAAACAAAAAATGCTCGGTAATCTAAGAATTAAGCCTTCTAATGACTACTTTCTTCTTCCTTTTCTTCACTTTACCTTCTATCTTGCTCCTTTATATATTACATCGTTTATATTTTTCATTGTCTTCATTCTTGTCTCATTTGTGTTGCTACTTATCCTTGAGTCTTCGGTTATTAATGCCTCTATTCTTTTCTTTTTAACCTTTCTTCTTTCATTTCCTTCTATTTTTCCCTGAAGGATATCTTAGGAACATAAAATAGATCAACAATGTTTTACGCGTCGTTAAATATTTTTATAAATATAACTTTTTCTATACAGTTTTAAAATTATCTTTGACAGGTCTTGCTAGCAGAAATGTCAGATCCAAGGCTTCGTGGCATCCTCACAGGACTTTCACTCGTTTTTTATTGTTTCGGTATTCTCCTAGTGTACGCACTGGGAGCTTCGTTTACTTGGGACGTCGTAGCTTTCTGCGGTATTATACTTCCTCTTATGGCACTGATTGCATTCACTTTAATACCGGAAAGTCCTGTTTGGCTTGTGAGGCAGGCAAAGCTGAAAAAGGCTAGAAAAGCTCTGTTGTGGTTAAGAGGGGGTAACACGGATCAGGTACGAATACTAATTCTTAAGAATAATTACATTTTTTAACGTTTATAATGATATTGCGCTGTGCACAATTTAGTCGATTAAATACACTGTCGATCAAAAGTAGGGAACGAATACATTGGTTAAAAGAAAAACTTCTATTTTTTGTAAACAACTTTTATTGGAGAATTTTTGTGTATGATAAAGGAACATGAACATATGTGGATTAGTCAAACATAATTTTATTTATTTAGATATTTATAAAATATATAATTATTTATTTGTGGCGTTACATATTAAGTGGTTCCGATCTTTTAACTGACAGTGTACTTCGTCGTTGGAAATGTAATTAATATTCGTATTTTTCATAGTGTTAATATTAGGTTTGAAATAAAAAAAACACAATTTAACCCTTGGTGGTCGAATAACACCTTAATGTTGACCTCGAGCTTTCATATACAAATTCGAAGACTGCGAATGAGTAATTTAATTATTCAGATAACGAGAATTGATGTGCTTCTTCTTTGTTAGTATTTAATTTTACGACAGAAGTTTTTAAAAGTTTAAAAAATTCTTATCCGTAAAAGGTTAATATCTGAAATGATAATATTTTCTATGTCACTGAAATAAAAGAAACTAAAGTTTCATTATACTATACATAAATTCGGAAACATACTAGAAATTTTGTATTTGTTGGTAAGTAACGTTTTATTTTCAGGTAAATACCGAAATAGCAATTTTGGAGGCTCGAGTAAAAGCAGATTTAGCACGAAAGATCATAAGTACGTCCTACACAGACCAGATGTTTTCAGCAATATCTACAATCCTCGATCCAACCATTTTAAAACCATTGATAATCATCAATGTTTTTAACATCCTTCTATTAAGCAGCGGAACATATATCATTGTGTTTTATGCAGTAGAATTGATTTCAAACATTGGTAAGAATAACTTTTATATCGAGATTCTTGCATTATCCTACTGATCTCTGATTAAGGAAAGTTGAATAATATTGTATACAAATAGAGATTTGCAAACGTTACCTTTAGACATACACATGTTCCTTTTAACTCATTAAAATTGTAAAGTAAAATCAAAACTAAAAAATTATTTAATAGCACATACAGTAAATTTCAGTAGAGAAAAATTGTTACAGAAATTTTACTCGTGTGTTTTAAATCAGTCAAGAGATGAAAATAGTTCCTAAATTTTGGGATAAGAATTGAAGCAAATAAATACATAATAATACTTAAAATGTTAAAATTAATACATATATTTACGTATCCTGAAAAGGAAATGTTTCCAAGCCTATGTTTCTAACATTTTAAATAATTTTAAATAATTTTCATCTAAATTTTCATTAACAAACATAAAATATCCAAAACTTTTTTTGATAAGATGATGTAATTTTATAAACATCTAGACATTTTTATGTTCTTATAGTAGGTTCTATGTTATTTCATAAAATTATTGTACGAGGTTGCATTTTACAAATGTTCTATTCTGTTTGTCACATACAGGCGGTGAAAATATAAATAATTATTTTGCGGCGGTGATTACCGCAGTTATCAGACTTCTATTCACCTTAATAGGAAGTACTTTATTATTGTTTTTGGGCAGAAGAAGCCTAGGAATATTATCGGCTTTCGGAAGCGGCGTGGCATCGTTATTTCTTGCTGGGTATATATTAACTAGGAAAGAATCTTCTAGCATTGACGTAAGTTATTTACTTTCATGACTAGATCATGATTAGACAAATATTACCTCCAGAGATATTCCACATAAGTTGAAAAAACTAGCATTATATACAATACAACAGTATTTCTCTTTTATAATCGCGCATTATTAAGTCCTTTGTAATAACATAAAATGATATTTCTTCGTTTATCAACTTTGTATCTTTAAACAAAATCGAACTAATCATAGAATTCGATGTATTATTCTCTATATCTGTCTTAACCTTTAGCATACATAAAAGAAGCAATTGACATTCTTTATTTCACACAGATTTCTAATATTTTTTCAAAAATCATTTTAACCGATCGTGTTTGGCCTGTTTTTATTCATTAAATATAGTAAAAAATTCTGTCTGATTTTTTGATAAAATCATAACTTTATTTAAAACAACGATTAATCGATAAAATAATTGCTACTGTTATTTATGATATTTTGCCACATTTCTAGAAATTCGATGGCCTCAATGAAGTGAACTCATTTAGGCAACTAAAGTTCGTTGAAAAAAAACTTTATACACAAAGTTTATACACAAAAACATTGAAAATAAATCGAGTGCAAAGAGTTTAAAGAGTTGAGTGGGACGATTATAACTGAAATATTAGGCTAGCCAAGAAATCTTGTTGCTTCACTTTCCATAGAAAATGTTCTGGTACGAACTGCATTACTTTTGCGTTCTTTTAATATGTTTCAGGTGTACGTCGTTGGAGTTTGTCTATTAATGTATGTAGCAGCCAATAGTTTAGGACTGATGGTACTTCCAGGTATAATGGGTGGTGAATTGCTACCGCAAAGAGCTCGTGGCATTGGCGGTGCCTTCAGTTTCTTTGTCTTTAACATGTTCACTTTTGCAGTAACGAAGATTTTCCCAATGGTATGTTTCCATCAATAACTTCGATAATTACATTTATTAGTGAAATTCCGAGGTATCTTGCTGTTTTATTATTTGCACGAAACTTCCCTATTTTCTGACGTTTTTTAACCATTCGTTTAATATATTTTTCTGAGAAAAATCTTGTTAACTACACAAATTAAACTAGCTTTCAGTCATATAATAATCATATAATAAATCTAATTAGTTAATCATATGATAACCTAAAACAAGACATCTTTGTATTTTTATACGTAAATATAAGTACATTATAATGCAAATTTTTTATATTTATACTTCACTCGTATTTCGAGCATGATAAAGTCCTTGCATATGCATTTCTAACGAAATATTATATTTTCGAGATATTTTACAATTACAATTCCTACCAGCCGCATTATGAAATATAATTATGTATTGTGGTGGGATTTTGGGTCGCATGCTTATGGTAAGTGTGTATATAAAGTAGCGGGGGACTTTTAAATTTGCATCTACATGTTCTAAATAGTCCCAATATTTTTTCCCATTTTATTATAACGAATTAAAACCTACAAGAATTCTTATTTCTTTTTAAAAAAGATAAGCGAAGCTGTTGGGATACCAGGCATATTCATCATTTTTGGTAGTTCTGCGTTATTAGAGACTGCATTCATCTACGTTGCTTTACCGGAAACAAAAAATCGTACTCTTCAAGAAATTGAGGATTACTTTCAGGTAAATCCTTTTAATGTTCTTTATTATTTATTATCGTGTCTACCTTTTTATTTAAAAATAATTTATGATACCCATTTTCCCGATCAATTACTACTAATACACTATATCGAAGATTATTTTAATGAAACTTTTCTTTTCTAATTAAACGACGACTTCATGTTTTTAAAAAACATACCACAATTCTTTAAAAGAGTCATCTTTTTATACATTACTGTATTTGTTTCGTAATCTTCTGTTTAATGTCTAACCGTATTATCGCTTTTATATCGTGGTATAATCAAGAAACATATTTTTTGCCTCTATCAAAAAGGCAGAAAAGAGCTGCTAAATAATACTCGTAAAAATTATTGCGAAATAGTATCAATATTAGTGTTTTGCCACAAACGAATTATAGGATGGATCAGATATGAAATTTAATTCTTTATAGTCATTAAATAGAGTTTTCAATTTAGACTAGTTAGCAAATACTTACATAAATATTGTAAACATAATATTTTTTTTCCTACTTGTCATACGCCTTGATAATTAATATATTATATTTTATATATAATATCATTAAGCGAATTATAGACCGAGACTCACGGGTAATAAATTTTATTAGTTGCAATTTAAGGATACTTAAATAGAAGTACATTATCATAAATAAATTGTTATATTAATAACAAATACAGTACATTATAAAGATATAAGTCTGAAGAACATATACTTATAAACGACTTATACGAATACAAATAGGAAAAACAAACAATTCGGAGAGTGCTATTTAATCCAGAAATTCCACATTATGACAACCCTCAGCCTAAGTCGGATTAAATATAATTCCCAAATTTCTAATTGTCATAACGTAGAGGCGTGAAAGTCACAGGTCGCTTTAAGCGATGATACTACAAATCCTACGAGACACTAAACATCGTGACATGTGTAGTTTATCCTATTCTTCGCTTGTGGTATAGCTTTCGCTGCTGATTGTTACAACACTGACAATAAGAGAAAGGGAACCGAATTATACCATCAGACACGATTCTGACTAAATCTAAATTTCTTTGTAAACCGTTTAAAACTTCTTTATTAATCTATTAGTGACAATATATATGATTTTTTTTAAGTTGATATTGTGTGTAATCTTAATTGCAGCAAAAGAACCTTCTTTGGGTGACACGGTTAAGAGAAAAAAGGAAGCATAAGTCCAAGGATTATAAGTAAGACATTCGTCTGTGCATAAGTTCAATGACACAATCATTACATGATTTTCTATTGGTAACATCGTATGTAACATTTCTCTGTATCATTTTAGTATGTTTAAACGCGTATACCGCTAAGTTATTTAAGATAATTGAAGTGTATAAAATGACTGTAAAAACCGTACGTACAAACACATAAAATACGATCCTCATTGTGATACGTATTATTGTCTCTCCATCCATTTTATACTTATGCAAATCTGGAATGGTATTTTAGATTATAAAACTTTTATTGTTATGGTTGCACAATATTGAAATGCGTTCGAATGTTTGCCTCGATAGAGTCTACGGAACTGATTCCTCTTTGAAAAATTTTCAATTTCATCTTAAAAATGTCCGGAGTAAAATTTATAAATTATTTTTAACTATAAGTAGTATAAGATCTATAAATTATTTTTAACTATAAATAGTATAACTCAGGACAAATTGTTTCGACTGAAATAAGGAGTCGACAGAAAAGATTCTCCAGCACTGAAATTTGTTTTATATTAGTAACGAGCTTTATCTAAGAGCAAAAAAAGGAGAAGGTAGTTTGTAAGGTAAACTAAACTCACTAACCTGCTTGTTATAATAAGAAAAAAATTACTTATTACAAAAAATTAGAACTCAAAGCAAAATATTACATTCTTATACCTCTATTACTGTTAATATTTAATAAACTACTGTTAGTACTACTTTTACTAAAGCTTCTTGACTTCTGGACTAGTGTTCCTTACATCATTTCTAAACATACCTATTAAAAACATTTTTATAAACCGCTTTTGACCATATTTATCATACTACAAACCACTGTAGGAAAAAATCAATACATTAGATTATTATCTTATGAATACAAAACAAAGCTAATAATTTTCCAACCATCTACAGTCCATGATCTTAGTGTTGTCACCACCATTCCAACTATCTACAATCAAATACTGATATAAAGACCACATTATGAATAAATATAAACCATAATTATGTAAAAAATTTTCAAATTTTAATATAAAATTATACAAGTATTATACAATTATATATAAGTTTCTCAGTCTAACACATAAAAATAGATACGTTTCTATTGGAATCGTTGATTTATAATGAGATTATAAAGATTACTCGAAAAACACTTTATTCAACATTTAAGTTATACCTTCTTGTACTTCGTATCTCGAAATAAAGTAAAAAACTATTTACAATAAGAAAAATAGATTATCATCCTTAGCCGCTCCAGTGTTATGGATCATTGCAGAAATCTGATCAAAAGTGCAAACCAATGCGATTAAACAGAACTCTTTTTATATGGAAAAATATCAAAGTATAACAATTGATTTGATATGATAATAGTATATATAATAAGTATAATGTAATGAAATGTTTAACCAAATAATTATGATCGTTCTGAGCTATGCTCTAATGATTGGTATCCACTGTGCAGTATAACTTTTAACGGAAGTACATTCACAGACCGCCCTTACAATATAAAAAGGCAATGCAAATAACGTAAATAATTTTAATTCGATAATGATACTTTTTACTCTGCAATATTTACTAATCTCATTAATCTATGAAGTAAAATTAAAATATGTAATTACATTCATAGACTGAACATAAATATAAAAAGAGAATAACTATTCTTTATTGTATTTGAAATAATAGAAAATCTTCAGTTACTTACTATACTTCTTCTTTGCTTTTAATGGACTTTCTACTCCGTCTAACATGAGGAGTTACAGGAAATGCTGGCTTTACCAAACAACCACTGCATTTGTTTTCTACAAAAGAACACATTTATTGATGCAAATGTGAGTAGCTGTAGAAAAAATATTTAGTTTATTAAGAACAATCATTACCATCAAATTTGACACTTTTTCGGGTAGATCTTCTTCTCCCACTATTCTCTTCTAGGCTCATGTGGGCAATAGCATCATGTAAATCTATCTTTGAATTGACAATTTTGTCATCTTTAATGCTAACTTTACGCAAACTTTTTCGTTTAGTTTTTGTAGGAGTTGTATTTTCTTTATGCTCAAACCCTTGGTCACATAAACTCCTGGAAAACTTCTGTTTTTGTATGGATGTGTTTCCTGTGATAATGCTTCTATTCCTTAACACTCTCGTATTATCACCATGTTTATCGATTTCTTCAGTATCACTAATAGAAACATTTTTTTGTAATTTCTCTTTGGAAGTATTCAAATCTGGATGATTTGAAATCTTTTTTAATGGCGTCGACGCTACAATACTTGATGATAAACAGTCATCGCTACAATGTAAAGCATTTTGTCTTTGTAACAGTTTTCTTGGTGATGATATATTTGATCTATCATGTAATATGGGTTCTTGGAGTGGTGTTGCAGATTCTATTTTTATAGACGGTATATGTATCTGCATACACTTCTTTTCTTCTGTAGGCTTGGTTATATCCAAATTTTTGTTAGCATTAGTACTATTTTCAGATTCTTCAAAACTACTGTCATTATAGACAAGCTCCCTTTCTGTATGAATTGGTGTTTCTTCACTAGCACAATCAAAATTAAGACTATCTATATTAGCAAATGCAGTAGCTAAATCCTTTTTGATTCGAAACTCTTCACTTATTGGATTTTCATTTAAAATTAAACTATCATCAAAATTAACTTCATGCGTTGCCTTCACGCTGGATCTTGATTGTTTTAATATACTTTTTGCTGGTGTTTGATTTGAATTAGTATAGGATATAGTATCGTCTAAGCAAATTTCTGGTACTTTGCACATTTTACTTATTTTCATTATGGTTAATGGACTTTTGAATTTCTTTGTATCAGAGAATTGCACTTTTTCAAGCAAACTTAATTTTGGTCTGTCGTCACAGAGACTGATAGATTTTCTTGATGTGTATTTAGTATTAAGTCTGTTTTCACTATTTTCATTTTTATTATTCAAAATTCCAAATTGTTGTGCACCAACATCACTTTGTGCTTTTTCAGTCATACTCTGTTTCTTTTTTGCTAAGAAAGCTCTAACGTTACTTGATTTTGTATGCAATGCTTTCTTTTTTGTAACTTTCTTTTTTGTAAGAGGTTTACCAACAACAGATACTTGTTCTTCTTCCCAATTTCGCAAACGTAGTTGTTCTAACTTTTCAAATCGTAAAGTACAATTCTCCACTTCCATGTACATCATATCCCAGAATCCTTGTAAGTCATTACAAGTAACTAACATTTCCCCTTTTCCAGTTGCACAATCAAAAACTAAACTACGAAATCGTTGAAACTTTTTATTCATCAACAAATTTGCTTGTCCGATAGCCTGATTAATTTGATACTGGGCATCTTCCGTAATCCCTGGTTCTTCTTTTATCTTACTCCACTTTTCACACAATTTCTTCTGTCTGTCTATTTCTTTGTTCAGAAGAAATTCGAAATATTGAGCAGTTCTTTCTTCCTCATCCACAGAGATGTTAAGATTTTTCATGACAGTCTCTTTTGTTGGAATGTTATCATTTGTTGAACGACTAAAACTGAAGCCACGTTTAATTTGCTGTTCCTTTCTAGCATTGCTTTTTCCACGACTAGATACTACATAAGGTGAAAGAGAAGCTGGTTCGTTAGAAGAATCAGATTGCAAAGATTTTGGTGTATTATCATTAGTAAAAGGTTCACTTTCTTTAGAAGTATTATTTATCGTATCACAAGTATCTTTAATATTGTCCCTTATTGTGATATTAAATTTTTTACCACTGTCATTAAACTTTTTGCTACTTTTGTCATCTTTAGTACTGTGATTGAATTTTTCACTGATTTCTATATCTTTCTTAGAGTTTCCAAGTTTTCTGTTCTTTTTAGACTCATTAAGTTTTTCACTAAATTTTTCATTTTCCTGACTGTCATTGTCACTATTTCTTCCACTTTTATTATCATTTTCATTTCCTGAAAGAAATTCTTCCTCTTCACCAAAAGATAATTTTAACACAATGGGTTCAATGGAACCTTCTTCTATGTTATCATCATCTTGTTCCTTTTCAATAGTATAAGAAGTATTTAACAGTTTGCTGTTTACCTGTTCTACAGTCAACTTTGCATAACTACTTCTTCTACTGGCTCGTGTAATTTTTGAAAATGACGATACAGGTTCAGTTGAAATGACAGGTGTCATACTACACGTGACTCTACCAAATAATATCTGGGGCAACCCTTCTGGTGGTTTAAATTTGTAATTATCAGGAGCAAAGGAATATTCCTTTTCCTTTGGTACTTTGGACTGTTTATTTTTTTCAGGATTCGCAGGATTTGTTTGAACTTTTGTTGCGTTATTTGTTAAGGCTTTGTACAGTAATCTTTTTTCTGTGGCTCTTGTAATTCTTTTTGTTGGAACCAACAAAGTTCCTGGTACATTAGATTTACATACCTTTTTAGTTATCATGTCTGGTTCATCTTTCATTCCTGGAGAATATAATTTGTGATGCACAGTTCCAACTACGAAAGGTGGTTTTTTCTTTATTTGCTCCAACTTTTTCCGACGATCACGCTCTTCTCTCCATTTCAACAATCGTACCATACGATTTTCATTTACAGAAGATGACTTCATTTCTAAAATGAAAATGTAATCATATAAGAAACAATTGTGACACAAATAAAGATATATATCAAATAATAATAAACCATTTGACAAACCTTGAGCTGCGTTGTTTACTGTACTGTCTAAAATATTTCTGTTTTCATTAAAGAATTGATTCCTTTTATTTTTACGCCAATTTTTATGATTTTCTGTTCGAACAAATTGTGACTCAACAGCGTCACCAAAACCGAGAGGTTTGCACTTGTATTTGCTTTGAAAGCCTGCCATTTTATCGTATGGACAAAAATGTAAAACCACAGCGGAGAAACCGTTCAACGGACACTATTCAAAATTGATGTGTTTGAAAATGGCGCTTGGCATGAATTATGAACACCATATAGAGACGGGTAATATGTTTTTATCGTGTATATTCTTATGCTCCCTTCTGTAATCTACCACAGACAAGGTACACATAAGGATAGATATAGTAACATGCAATCTAAAATTTTGCGATAATGTTAAAATGCACAAATTTTGCTGTCCAACAGTTCGAGTATTTTGCCATGAATAGCGTATAGACATTCCCTGTGACTCCCACATCGGTAACACTTGTCTACTAATTTGAGCGTTTTGACACGGATGGCGCTATCAGTCAAGAACGCAGATTTTCCAAAATAGATAATTTTTGCCACTATATGCATTAGATAGTATGTATAGAACAGTAGGAATTATTCTTTTATTAGGAAGATAAGCTTAACATTTTTTTTATTTTAATTTGCAACCATTTGCTCGATATTACTCTGAATTTATAACGTCTTATCGAGAGGAATATCGATTGCCCAGATATCATAGAGATTGCTGCGAAGAAGCTCTGGGAGGTGGATGGAAATTGAATTCCATCGACCTCCTTTTCTAATTCTAAATCTCATTATTATACAATGGATAACACACACCTACGTTTACGTACATATACCTATATATTACAAATATGACTTATTATAGTTTGAGCTTATCAATATGATCCCAGAAATATCTTAACTATGACATTATAGCATCACAATGCTAAAATCTTCGATCACATTTGAAAATGATATTCGATCATTTCTCTAGTGCGAGTACTCGCTTAAACCTGTCCGATATTTTTTCTGACTTGACTGTTCGGATTCTTAATATCTTACTTATTAGTAAACATACATTGATCTATACACACACGAAATTACTGGATTGTTACAGCTAAATCTTTTTACATGCATATACTTGTATACTATAGTTCAAACTATACTTCGAACAAAGAGACGTTTGCTGATTAATAATTTGCAAACAAAGCCGAAATCATAACTTCGCCCTGTAAAATCACTTGTTAACCCTTATCACTCCAAACATATTATAGCATGTTTGCCAAATAACTCAAAATAAATTCTGATAATTTCAATGAGGAAAACAAAGCCGCGGCATAATATTCATAAAGTACTTGTTTATAAGAAGAAATACTTGTAAATTCCAGATAATTATAAAATAGTACTAAGAAGCAAGATATTAATTTATTTTTTATTGTTGTAACTATATTTATGATACTTTTGTTTGTTAGTGGGACTGCCGGTTGGGCCGATAAAGGTTAAAATATTTATTGCACCCAGTCCAGCAACTACTCTTCTACCTACTCTTTTATAAATTAAGAAGGCGAATTTATCGAAAACAGGTTTCTTTTCCATCTTGGATAATTTTTTATCCTATGTTCTAGAACTTATCTATAATAACTTTTTCCTGTATAAATAACCGGTAGTCTCGCTTAGTTTTCGAGATATTTTTTTACGTAACTTCTATTTATAAGAAAAAGCTGTTCAAAACATTGATTTCTACATTTACAAAAATCATTCAAATCAGTGAGGGAGCCAATTTTCCATACGTTGACCATTAAAAAAGCAAATATAAAATTAATACTTTCATATTATAACAAACAGTTGTATTATGTACTGTTTTCAAGTGTAGATTATTTTGAAAATTACAATTATTGATGACGATAAATTTTAAACGGTAGCCGAGTTATAAGTGTAACTTTCAAAATACATTATTATTTAACTTTCATCAGTTTTAAGTATATTCCCCCTTTAGGCTGCAAGAGGAATGCGCCAGGATCGAATTCATATGGAATTTCCGTTTTTTCGCATACATCCACTTTATGATTTCGAAGTATTGTAATCAAACCGACTTTGGTTTGAGTGACTGCAAATCGAGCACCTGAAAAATATTATATAATTATAAAAAATATTATAAAATATAACATAAATATCATATAGGGAATAACAATTTGTAAAAGATACTTTTACGTAGGCATGTACAACGTAAACGATAGAATAGAGAGTTTCAAAATATTATTTTATACATAAAATATTAATCCACGGTTAATATAATACCGACTGGTTTCTGTCGATTTTATATTTACATCATTAAATATTTTATATAAAACACCGATTTCTACAGCATACATCAATTTTATGAAAATCGGTATTACTGTTCACATACCTTATGCAGTTATTGATAACACTTTCTTAATGATTTCTTAAAGAGAAGTTAGCTTCAAACAATCAATGTTCAAAACTCAGACCGCATAAACAATATCGAAGAGCTAAGCATCGATTTTCAGCTTGTGTATCGAATTTCATAAGCCAATGCAACTTCATGAAAAATCAAGAACATATACACTGAAGTTGTTGCAATATTTATCATCGACACTTGTTTTCCATTTATATAAACAAATCATTTAAAAATGGGTGAATTCGATTTTCTATCTTAATATAGAATTAATTACATTAGAATTGATATTACATACCAATGCAATTCCTTGGTCCATCTCCGAAAGGTAAATAATGCATAGGATGTCGAGCTGCTATAGCTTCCTCGCTAAACCTTTCAGGATCGAATTTATCAGGATTTGGATAAATGTCAGGGTCCCGATGGATCGCAAACAGCGGAATCCAGACGACAAGTGATTTTGGTATCGTTACTTTCAAAGACTCGAAAGTGTAATCAGATGTTGATTTTCTCATTATGATTGGTCCGGCTGGATACTTCCTTAATGTCTCTACAAAAATAACAAAATTTTAATTTGTATAAAAATATCACTGATAATTTGTATAAATATGAACATTTAAATATCTACAATCTTCTATAGAAATGTTTATTCATTTATTAATTTAAGCAGTGTAATCTGCAGGGAAAGGTCTATAATTTTTAATTCTATTTTTGAATATATAATTTGTAGTTAAAATGAATAAAAAATTACAAAAAAGATATTAAGAATTATATAAATAGATTGCAATACGCTGTAAATGCTTTTGTAACTATTTTTACTTAACGATTAGTTTACCAATCTATATTTTGCATTTTATTTTTTAGCATTCAATTTTTTTATCGAAAATTGTACTAAATAATTAAAAAATGCGATGCAGGATATGAAAAGTATTTACCTTTAAATACTTTATCTAAGTACGGCATCTCTTTTATATCTTCATATTTGAAATTCCCACCGCATTTACGATGGTGTTCTCTAATTTCTGCACGTAACTTATCTTGCACCTCATGATTTTGGGCTAATTCATAAAGAGCGTTACTCATAGCCGCTGAAGATGTCTCAAAACCAGCCGCAAAGAAAACGAAAGCCTGGGCAGTTAGTAATGTCTCTGTAAACTCTGAAGATAACATAAGGTTAAGGAATTGTGTGAATAATCTCACACTAAAATATATTGTTAACATCAGTTTACACATGAGTAAGAACTATAATCTAATTTAGGCTACTTCCTTCCACTGTATTTTATTTTGCAGTTAACTTACCGACGTTGTCCAGCTTTTCTGGATGCTTTTGAAGCTCCATAAGCATGTGAATAAAATCGGGCCTGACGATGCCGTGCTCCTTCCTGTACTTCACCGTGTCCATGACAACCTTCGTGAAAAAGGGAGCCAATTTTCTGTCGGGCACTACGTATCCCAGTAAGTTGTAAAACGTTGGACTGAATAATTTGATTTTTAATCGTAAAACGTTTTCGAAGCTGGCAGCAAAGATCTCTCTGCCCTTTCGACGAAACTCGCTCTCCTTCTCGTCCATCGCGTTCATGTCGATTCCAAATGCGCAACTACCGATCACGTCGGTCGTGAATTTCGCAGTTAGCTCACGGATTTCAACTGATTCTTCTTTTTCAACCACACTGTCCAAATATTCTTCCAATTGTTTTCCACAATCTATCATAAGGCTGAACATTTCCTTCAGTTTTCCTGCGGTGAATGTCGGACTTAGTTTCGACCTTAACGGCCGCCATCTTTTTGCCTCCAGATTAAACAGATTTGGCGACAAGGGTTCGGTCTGTGAACATTTAAAGAAAGTTTTGTTATTTGAATATCGTTGAATGGAAGAATGTTCAGGGATAACAAACACTTTCAATTGTAATATTTACTTCGTAAGCAGGTAACCTGAATATATGTGGTATACATTTCGATCACTGTAACATTTTATTTGACAATAGTCTATTAAATTATAGTAATAATTATTGTATTGAAGATTCATTTGTCAAATAATAATTTATCAATATAATTCTAAATTGAACTATTCGTACAGAAATATTTAGTGAGTTTACAGTATATCTTGCATATTTTTTCTGTTACAGTTTTAAATCTCACTATTAAAAGAGTTTTATATAAATAGGTTTGTGTCTATAAGTATGTGAATTATAAGTTTTATTTTAAGAAAAGAAAATTAAAAATATTTGTAAGGAAAGAAAAATTGTATACATGATTAGAAAGATTTCAATATTATAATTTAATAAAACATCACTTATTCTTCTCCCTTTTCATACATACCCGTTCATGGACATTAAATCCTCGATCTGCAAATTTCGAAAAATCCCTGATCATAACATCTTTTATGATTTCTGGGTCAATTATAAGAAGAGTAGGGGTCATTGCCGAGTATAAACCCACGATTGGTTCATTTTTGTACTTCTTATATACGTCCATTGTTAAGTCTGCGATTGACTTTCTCGCAAACATCACTAGTCTTGTATTGCCAAACAAGAATTCGGGGGGTGGTGCATTTACATTACGTTTCTTCCAGAAATTATACCGAGAAACGATGTAATAATACATGGCAATGAGTAAAGCGCCCACAGCGCATAGAATTTCCAAGTAACCCGTCATTGTTTCCGTTATTCAGCGGCTGACGGTGGAAACAGTTTATTTATTTCCTAAAAAATAGTATTTTTATTTCAAATGAAATTATTCTTGATCCTTTTATCAACAGCAAACAATTTATTGGTGTTATAAAGAAGTTTTATAAGTCGAAGTAGGTGGATATAAAACTATATGTTTTGGATATCTAGTGACGCAGTATTTAAGTAGTATCCTTTTATTATCAGTCAAGTAAATTTAGTGTTAATAAAGTTAAAACAGTATTAATTTCTGTAATTCATTAGCCACACACGAATCACTAATATTTATTCGTTTATATTTACTTACAGAAGAATTTCGTTAATTTGTATATTATGAATTGAGACGCATATCATATCTACCAATATTATTTTTAGACTATACTGAGAGATATATGTGATAGGAGTAATAGTCGATCCTAACGAAATGCAACTCGCTGATGCGAAATGTTACTACAGTTAATGAACTGTAAAATTAATAATAATAAATAAAATATATGATTAATTTATTTAATCTACCACTTGCGAATTAAATAAATGCACGAGTCACATTAATTCATTTAAAACCCAACACGAGGCTATTTTGTAATTGAAATTTTAGAAAATATAAATTGCTCGTTTTTCTACACATTTACAGAACACGAATTTGCAATGTTGAAAATAGAAAAATGTATCTTTATATAAGAAACGAAATGTGAATAATTAAGCTTCATTAGCTTTCTTCTTATCTTATCGCTTGGTAGTTGGTATTTTTAGATGCTTATGATTAGAAACTGTTTAGATTATGTTAGATCATGTTAAATGTTCAACTACACAATAGATTGTTTAGAATATGAACAGATTGAGGCAATGGAACCTTTATCGTTTAATAGTTAAATTAAGGTTTAAGAAATATAATTGTTTTACTTCTTCTAACTATTTTATTCAATTATTTGTAATCAAAGTTCTGCATGTAACTTCGAAAAATCGCATTAATTTTTATTATATTTCATCTAACTTTAAAAAATGCTAATGAAGTTAAAGTAACACATTGTAAGGAGAAAATGCAAAAGAAAAAAAAGAGTAAGTAGTATAAAATTCCTTCATAAAATATTCTATTTTCAGAGAATTTGACTTCGTCTCATTGTTTGTTTCATGACGTCTGCAGTGTACTGATATAATTTCACAATATAAATTCTATAATAGAGATTAATAAATAAAAAAAGAATATTATTTTTTGTTTAAATCATAATCTCACAGGAAAAACTGGTAATCAAAATAAACGATTTTTCGTAAACAAACATTAACCTTTCCTAATTGAAAGCGTTTCTTGATATTGACATTTCAAAAACATCAGCACAAAAAGTAATTGTCTCTATATAATTCAATACATATAAACTGAAGTTCATTGCACTTAGTTTTACCATTTATAAGGATTAATTTCACATTCATTAATTTGCACTGTTTTAGATATCTTTTAGAATATTCATCTAATATGTTACTTGTCGTTATTAAAATTTTTACCTGTTTTATTCGCGGGTTAATGTTATTAATTTTTCTTTTTAAACAAGATATTTAAAATGTACTGCATGAATAATTCACGGTATAATTAACACTCTTTTATAATATGTACAGATGTGCCGTAATTGTTAATCACAATGCTTAACACAATAATAAACTTCAGTTCTCACTTTTCACACTGCAGGAAAATTGCATAATAATTCCACGAGAACCAAGTGAGACATGATAACTTCCGCGCATCACTCTTGTACGACAATTGTGGCTCATCAATGCTACTCGGTTCATATAAAGATCATCTTTTCAAGTCACCATGACTCACTCAGCTAGTACTCACCATGACTTGCGCTTATAATATAGGGTCGTATCTAACTTTGTTGTCCCCTAAAAACAGTGTTTGGTTAATCTGTGGACATTTTGGTATTTGAATTTCACATTGTTTGAATACTGATTATAAGAAATATATAAGTTAAGGTGACATCATAATATTTATACTTCGATTAAAGTTGGTTTTCTTTTTGTGTGCATGACATACATTTGAGTTTTATCTTTCACACGAGCGAGTCAAAGAATTTTCTTAAGAATCGATTTTACTTCAAAATATATGCTAAACATTCGCGTAATTAATTGAAAATATAGCTTTATTAATATTTTTTTGTCAGATTAATAAGTCGTAGAAAGTTTCGTAAAAGGTGAGTTATAATTGGGTCCTTGCAGAAAGATCTTAGATATTAGGTTGACCAAGAAATCTTGTCATTTTACCTTGCAAAGTGGAAATTATATTATAATATTCAAATAAATTATATTATAATATCTGGCTAAAAAATGATAGAAATCCTTCGAATAAAATACACAACATATGTATCAGTGCAACTTCATTCAACGAAGTCAAATTCTTCCTTAAATTTAGTTTACAAATGCAACGAGACTTTGTGATCAACCGAATATATTTTTAGAATATGGAATCTCTAAGAAAATATGAAATGAATTTTCTGAAATTCTTATAAAATTTTTGCTTTCCTTGAACATTTTCATTGTCACTAACACAACCTACGCGTTGCATGAATTATTTCAGTAATATGGCTTATATAAGTATCTGTAGCTGCTGCGTTTTTACTCTTATACGTGTATGTTATAGATATTGGCTGTTATCGTGTCGTTGCAGATGAAATGGAATGTGTCGCTATACTGGTATTATTTATTACTTCTTGATACAATGTTGTAAGATAGCATAATGTTTTGGCGAAGAAAAATAAAATTTTAGTAGGAGGGATAGTAATAACATAAAAGCTATTTGAAACAGACTCGTTCAGTACATTGACCCTAATGAGAAGATATCGCGCAATATTTCATTTGAAATGTGATAAATATAATTAAGAACAAAGAGTACAAAAGTAATAATTAAGATTAAAAAATGTCGAGATTATTTACACAAGTTTTACGAAATAATTTACAAGGAACCCAGCATCGATAAAATTCTATTTTGGGAATTTATCTATCGCTTTCTCTTCCTCAGTAAAGCAGCGACGAAAACTGAACGACCATTTCGAACAATCCAAGGCTTACATCACAGTAACGAAATGATTGAAGCAACTGTTGAATATGTAAATGAGAAAAGTACGTTTCAGAGTATTTTAATTAAATTGCACTGGTCTGGGATTTGCTAGTATATTTAAAGAATCTAAATGCGACAAATCGTTCATAAAGTGACTTACATCGCAGTGATATTACGAAATAGATTAAAAGAAAGTAAGATAAGATTTATTTATACGATTCAGATAAGCAACTATAACCAATTTTTATCAGTATCAACGTAGATTTGTCAGATGGACTTCTAAAAATAATGTTTTCCACATCGATGAAACACATTTTATGTATATGCGCATACATAGAAAAAACTATTGAAAATACAAATACACATTTAAGGCAGAAATTTTTATCTAAATTTTAATTCACATGAAGCCTCATTCTGAAACTTTAAGTATAACAACACGGCGCTGGTAAACTGATTTCTCAAAGTGATGACGCTCGCACCAAATATAAACATGCAATGAAAAAACTTTCAATTGTAGTAATTTTAACTTCATCTCTTCAAATGTATTACCGACAGGTTGTTGAAATTTTTCTGATTAAAATGAGTCCAAACACGACGTAAATTAAACTAGACTTACCGACTTAATGTAATTAACGAAATTAAAGATTCTCACAAATCGATAAAACTCGACCGACTTGCGTCGTGTTTGGACCCTTTTTGATCAGAAGAATCTCAATAAATCACTGGCTTGAAAACGTAATAATGAAATTATTGTAGCTGAAATTTTCATCACTGAACGATTGTTGTTTATCTCCGCGGGGCCATACTGAGAAATGTCTGCTTCCTTCCCACGTATTGTATTAATTTTCTGTCTCAGACGAGTTACCTCACGCGGTCTCGGCAAGTCTATCGGATTTATCACATTAAACGTGGGATAAATATCTGTATTTCAAGGCAACATTGAATCACGAGTTACGCTGACGGATACAAGCGATATCCAACTTTTCCACTCTAACATCCATTATTATTCGTGATTTTAATAAAATAAACCTAAACAGAGGTTAATTTTATTATTTTTATTTTAGAGTCGTCTACATAGTGTTTCCAAACGAAATAATATTACGCATGTTTGCAATGTTATCTAATTACGAGTACTGATGAATTAATAATTGAGTACCCTGCTGATAAGAGCTTCACTATCAGTTCTGTTGTAAACATCTGAATTTCTTGACTGCAAGTTGTACCGTTTTAAACTCTTCAATGATTATATCGAGTATGCTTATCTATATGCGATTTTTATTTTTAATTATATATATGCGGGTATGAGAACATGGCACTTTTTGGTTCTATTCTTTCAAAATAGAATAACACTTAAAGAGATAAAGGATTGTTTGAATTAATGAAAACAACTCATAAGAAATCTTGTATAATGTATGTACGTTTTGAATAGCGTAACACGCTTGTATGTACATAGTAAACAGCGATATTGTAATTATTAGCATTTTTTCATATGCATATAATCAGTGGGGTCTGCTAGTTTTCGAAATATTTGCGAAAACCTGCTATTAGCACTATAATCAATTCTGTGTGCGTGACAACGTATATTGGTATTCAGAGACTGAATTTCAGCCATTGCGCATATAGAGGAGAAGAAAGAACACGCGCATTCAAGAAAACCGTGATTCACTAATACTGACTTGAGCTGTTTAAATTAAACTGATTTTAGACTGCAGATCTTTATGCATTTATGATTAAATTTGATCACATATCATTATTTTATTTGCATTAAACCTGAAAGTGTAAAATTTCACATGATGCCCACAGTCCGAAAGAATATATAAAATATGTAAAACATACTGATTTGTCTAACATTCTTGAGGAAATACCGTTTTATATCGTAATTCTATTTCTCTAATTATATTCTTAAAAATTTGAATTTGCATGCAGATCTACTGTCTACTAATTCCTATATACTGTGAGAAGCAGATTTTAGGTGGTCTACGCAAGGTAACTGATTTTTCTCAGTGTATACATGTACAATAAAAAAATACAAAGCTTAGAAGTTAAAATTATACTGATGTCCCAATATTTTCGGGGGTGACTATATGCAAATTGAGTCGCAATATATTGATTGTTGTATCTTATCGTTCCACGATTACGAGAGTCGGGTCACGAATGAATTGTGTATAACGAAGCTAACAGGTAGTAGTGAACACTGGAGAACCAGTTCGTTTTATTGTAAATTACAAATATTTAACTCATTCGCTCCGAATGGTGCACGTAGGTATCACGAAGGTTTTCAATTACCGAAAAGCTAGAGGACGCCTCAAACAAAAAGGCAAATTGTACCGGGATACGCGGAATCTTTGCTTATGGTTGACAGCTTTACCCGTTAAGTGTGGAATTTAGTTTGAAAAATCTCTTATTGTACACGCAATGAAATCAAATAATGAAGTGTATACTCGTCAAATGCAGGCCAAGTACACTTGTAATATGTTCTAACGAAGAATTATAGCAAAACAAAGATTTACATGTTTGTCTAAAAAAATAAATTATCCACCGTTGGAAAAGTTATCACCATTTTGCGTTTCAAGATGCTGTGTATACTTGTCAAACACAGTTAACAGGTCAATTTTTATTATTATTATTATTATTATTATTATTATTATTATTATTAATGTTTATCTTATTTTTTAAAGTGAAAAGTTTTAGTTTCACTTGAAAGCAGCTATTCTTGATCTTTTCTTTGATTTAGAGGAAAAAACACATACTCAGGAAGGAAAGAGTTAAGCTTCCCAGGTCAAACTCGATTTCTCGTGATGAAGCTATTTGTTCGGATGTTGAAACAGTTATGTTTACAATAGCTGTGGAGATGGTTAAGAAAAATTTGTTTGTATATGTAGTCTAAAATATGGACTAATATTCGTTGTAGGGTGTGTCTGAAAAATGGTGGAAATGGAGAGGAAATTTGCTGGAGTGGAAATTGGGTGGGTTTGCACGGTTCAGAAGAAACAGAATTTATAATATCACGGGAAGTAACGGATAGTTTCTAAAAATGTATCTATCGGCGATAGATTTGGAAGGTCATCAAACTAAAGATTATACAGGTGGTCGGTACATCAGGACGCGATCCGCCGTTAATGACCATTAGGACCTATGCACATGAACGACGCAATTCCGCTGCGGTGCCGTCGGTTGACGCTGGTGATTGTGTCGTGACCTCGCGGTGGTGACGCTGGCGACTTTACGTACATGTATTACATATATAGAGCAAATTTCATCTTACGTAATATACATAATTAAAAAAGAGAGATACATATATTTGTCATCCTTGTCACAATCCATGGTAGTTTTGTCCATCGCGCGGTGTCGCTGACAATTCCGCCGCGATCTCCGCACGGTCGACACCAAGACATATGAGTGTAAAGAGTTAAATTGCTGGTAAGTTGATCAATTTTTGCTAGGCGTACGGTATTTATAGAAGGTAAAACTAAATACTTCGGAAAGGAGATTGATTTAACGATTTATACTCATTTACATTGCTTTCTCGTATCATATAGATTTCATTATTCAGCTCACTTATTTAATCAAATAGTTTTATACTTTACAAATTGGTTATATTGTTAGCCCAACGGAAGGTATAATACACTTAACTTGTATTGTACCTTAAAACGTACTATTAACACATTGCGTACGGGTGACGAGATATCTCGTCTTTAGCAAGCCGAACGTTGTGGCCGGGCGACGAGATATCTCGTTTTTAGGTTTCTTCGACTCAATCGATGATTTAAGGAATTAAAAATAGATTTTCTTATTACGTTACCAGAGTAACGAAGTCTCGCGTGTTCTCCTAATAAATGATTAGCGAAAAAAAATGAATGTCGACATTCCGAGAACGTAAAAGTCAGTCAGTCAGTATAGCCATTACATCGGTAGCTCTGTGTCGATCGTGTATCGTACTTTATGAAGTGTTCTATTGTTGTACAGCATTTTGTTATTACAAAGTTCGCATTTTAATTTGTAAGGAAACAGCTTTTTAAAAATCATTTATACTTTCAATCTTTTAATGATAATTTATAATAAGAATTTTTTATCAAATAGGCCCTAATTCTAAAATAAAAGCAAAATGACGCATAGAAGTAAATAAAATGAAAGTCAAAAAATGTTAAAATATAAAACATGTATAAAAAATATATAGTAATATTTAAGAACCCCTTACGTGAATATAATACCAAATGCGAATTAAAAAAGTGCATATATGCATCGTATAAATTGTTTCTGGGGCGCCCAAAAATGTGCGGGTCCTGGAAGCGCGTTGCGCGAGCAGAGCGCCGTACGGAATGTGTTAATTACCTATAGCGGCGAAAATTTTAAGTACAATGGTTTCGCGGTCATAGTTATAAATGAAAACGGATGAATCCTGTACTCAGGTGTTTTCTCACATACATCGACTTTATGATTGAGGAGTATTTTGATCAGTCCAAGTTTCATTTGGTAATCGGCAAACCGTGCGCCTGTAACGAAAAAATTCAATATGATTTTAATTAGTAAAATCAAAGGAAAGGATTTATGGCGTAATGGATGGTCGAAAACACAGAATGAGATACATTGAAATATCTTAGGCTTTTGCAATTCAGAAGAAGCAACATATGAGCCAGTAATAATATAACCAGCTTAGTTCATTAAGTTCACCAAAATTTATAGAATATACATGAAGTTGCAAGATGTAGACATTTTTTATATAATCAAATTTATGAAATTTTTAGAACAGCGATGATATAATGTAAAAACGAAACTTACTGTTGTATTTGATAATTCTATTATAAATAAATTTGAGAAAAAAATAATTTATATAATTATTCTGATGATCCAAAAAAATTTGCTTCTAATATTTAGGAAAATTGAATTTGGAGACGTACCGATACAATTTCGTGGACCATGACCGAACGGTAGGTAATCCATTTGATGTCTAGTCTTTTTCATGTCTTCATCAAACCTTTCAGGATCGAATTTGTCTGGATTTGGATAAATATCTGGGTTCCTATGTATCGAATATACAGGTATCCATATTTTCGTGCCTTTGGGAATTGATACTTTTGTATTGGCAAACGTGTAATCAGCAGTTGCGTCTCTAGTTAATATTGCCAACACTGGATATTTTCTTAATGTTTCTGTAAAAAAATACAATGCCCTTCGAATTTTCTGCAGAACTCCACCAAAAATTAGTGTTTTAATTTACCAAATAAATTTTTTAAAATTTTAGGTAAAAGTGAGTCTCTTTGGAAATTGATTCTAATAAATCTATTTGAAATCCAATACGCCTGTTTAACATTTTTAAATACTTCCATAGTAAAATTTGTTAATAATAAAATTAAATTAAAAAAGTTATTAAAACTTGTAAAAATTGTGGCTAAATATTTTGTGCATGTCAAAACCATTTATATATGAACAATTAGAATATTCCAGTTAATGAGCTGTGGCGCATACACAGCGAATTATTAATTGTTAAAACTCACCGTCAATCACTTTTTGTAAATAAATCATTTTTTTTGTAACTTCATATGTCCAACTTCCATTATTATCCGAGTTAAACCGAAGGATCTCTTCTCGTAATTTTTCCTGTATGTTATGGTTCAGTGCTAATTCATAGAGAGCGTGGCTCATGGTGGTTGATGACGTCTCAAAGCCAGCCCCAAAGAAGACGAACGCTTGTGCGGCTAGAAGGGTATCCGTTAATTCTGGAGAAGTTAGAAAAGATTAATAAGGAATTACGGAATTCTCCATGAAATTACTTTAATAAGTGAATTACATTGATATTAAATACAACGATTGTTCTTCTAAATTGTATACTTTATAATTCGTTTTATTGTATCAGACATGAATTCTTATTTTGCAAGTGTTCCAATTGTGAAGGCGTTTTCGCGAAAGGTTTTCAATTAAATCCGTGTATTTGCAGAGATACAAAGCTAGGACACCCTTCGAATCTCAAGAAACGTACTGTTCTAATCAACATTAAAAATTTGGAAATATTTTACTGTAATTGCACGTAGATACATTATCACCGGGGGATTATGTATAACCCCCGCTTTATCATATTGACCGTGACCTATACACAAACACGGGATATAATACTATTCAAATCAGTTGCGTCATCATTTGTTGCACGTTTATATCATCCGATATCACCGATGTACAGTTACCTTATTTGTAACATTGATAAATTCTTGGAAAATTGTTTGAGGGTCACCATTGTGACACCGAAAGGTTATATATAATATGTATGTAATAAACTCGTGACATTACTCGTTGAAACAACCGTATCAAAATTATCAAATGAATCAACGGTTTTATGAATTTTATAAACGAACTTACTAATGTCACCAAGTTTCTCCGGATGTTTCCTGAGTTCTATAAGGATATTTATAAAGTCATGTCTGACTATGTTGTCCTTCATCCTATAATCCATTGTTTCGATGGTAACGTCTCTCATAAATTTGGTGGGAGCGTCATATGGCAACACGTAACCCAGAAGATCGTATAGTGCGGGAACGCATTCTTTCATTCTAAATTTAATTATTGCCCATAAACTGGCGGAAAAGATTTCTTTGCCTGTTTCACGAAATTTGCTCTCCTTATCTGACAGAGAATTCATTTCGATGCCAAATACACAGCTGCCGATTACATCGGTCGTATATCTGGCCATTAATTCGCGGGAATCGAGGGGTTCACCACTTTGAATTAAATTGTCCAAGTATTTCTCCATGTGGTTAGCACACTCGAGAATAAGGGAAAACATTTCTTTTAATTTGCCTGATGTAAAGACTGGGGTGAGTTGATTTCTCAGTGGCCGCCACCTTTTTGCTTCCAGGGCGAAAATATGAGCGGACAATGGCTCGGCCTGCGTTAAAACAATAATCGTGTACACCATTCGAATAATTTATTACATAATACTTACAAGAAATACATACTTTCAAATATCAGTCCTTCATATATAAAATATTAACACTACTGGCAGGAACATTTAAATGGTTCTCTTGCCAAATTGATTAACTCCATAAAATAAAAAATGGTGAAAAGTGATAAAATAATATATTATTGTTACACTTGAGGTGTATTCATAAATAAACAGGCGACAAAGATTCTTAATTTTTACGGCCTCCATACTTGGGTCATGAAACGCCCCGTCATCGCATGCGACGCAACAGCTACTTGCGAGTTACTATCATAAATCACCACAACGACGAGACTGGAGTAATAGTTATTATTACTACAATTTTTGCATTACTAAGGGAGTTAATCGATTTAACAAGTGAAAAAAACATTTTCAAATTTAATCTTCACTTTTCATAATTAGTATTACTCTCTTCCATGTTAATATTATAACGGTATATTTTTTCCTTTTTTTTAAAAACTGACATTATAATTGAAATAATTGTTTAAAAATTAACAAATAACTGCTTCAGTGGCAGTTTTTTAGTAACAGATTAAATATTCTTTATATTTTATTTGTTTTTGTGTATTAAATTATTATATTAAAAAATTCTTAACTAATTTTTATTACGTATTAGCAAAATTAGTAAAGATTTCAATTAGAGTATGGAATTATTTAGATTGGTTGCTGAAATAAATAATTTAATATCCAATGGCCAACAAAATTTTGTCATTTAGTAGTCTTAATCCTTATTGATATAGAAATTCGTTTAAAATATAAATAGTTAGGAGTAAATCAAGTGTTTTGACACTAATATTTAAAAAAATTCAAAAATTGGAGTTAATCGACTTAGCAAGTAACAGTGTCACACCGTAAACAAATTGGAAATATGAAATTTTATAAATATTCTCAATAAACTCCTATGTAAATGATATATGATAATTTCTTATTTCCATTATGAATTTTATGTTGTTTCACTATGTAATATTTAAATGTATGTAAATACAATTATCAACATGCAACAGATATGTGTTCTCTGTTACTGTCATGGAGTTATTACCATAGGATATCAGTTCACGTAAGTGTAAAATAGATATTGTATAACATATTTACCACTTCATTCATCGGGAACCCGCGATCTTCGAAACTTGTGAAGTTTTTAATTAGAACGTCTTTAATGTAATCTGGGTCTTGCAAAATGAGAACAGGCGTTCGTCTCATAATTATACCAAACATTGGTTCATGTTTGTATTGCCGACAAAGATTCTTTGTAAATATTGCAACGGATTCTACTCCTGTCATAACGTTTAAAACGTTACCAAAAACTGGCATAGGCTTTGGTCCCGGTACATTTCGCACCTTCCAAAAATCAAAATGCAGCGTAAAGTAATAATACAAAGCAAGTAATACAGTTACGATGCCCAAAAGTATCTCGTAGAAGATAGCCATCTTGCTTCATATAACAATGGTCCAATCGACGTATTGTATCTGTGACCTAAACAATGCAGAGTAATTTTCCAGTTATTAACACTAAAACTATCGGACGGGTTAAATTGACCGACATCAGAACTTTTATCTTGCAAGTATCTGAATTATGAAGGCGTTGTTGCAAATGATTTTCAATTAGATCCGTGTATTTGCACAGATACGAGGCTAGTACATCTTTCGAATCTCAAGAAACGTATTGTTTTAATTTTGATAAAAAATTAGAAACAAATCACTCTAATTCCTTGGTAATTTTAGCATTAAGTACATTGATCGTGTAATCTATGTAAAATTGTCACGTAATAACAAAAAATTGTATTAGAAGCCTTCAAATTCTATAAAATCATATTTGAAGGAAAGACCACTTACCACTTTTGTCCTAGATTTGTATTTTTCTTGAAAATTGTTCTATCTTAGTGGTTCAACTGTAGCCATCATCGACACTCTTTCAATAATATATCAGAAGTTACACGTATGATCAACACTTAAATTGCATTAAGCATCAGTAAGATAATTCCAATTATCCGGCACTGCAATATTCGTAAATTAATTATCTCGAATACTTCCGAACTTGAATCAAATCAGACTTTCAGTGTCACAAACGCATTCACAGATTCACAAAGACTGCAAATAATTTCAGTAAATTTGAATTGAAGACTTTTTTATTGAATGTAAAATGTACTATAGTTCATAGGTATATATACAATATAATATAGTTTAATATATTTAACTGAAAAATACATATGTATAAATGAATATCATTTAAGTTTAGGTGATATACGTAAATACATTAAGTTTTCTGATAATTTTATAATAATCCTACTCTCATTAAGTATTCTGTTACTATTTAGTTGATTGGTTTCTGTTTCCGTCAGATAATCATTAGAATAAATTACAATGGAAATGTATTAAATTAATATATTTACATATTACATTAAGTAGATTATAATAGAAATATTAAGTTTCAATAAAAGTATTAAAAACCTCAATGAAATTTTGTCCAGTTTGATGTTCACGGATATAGATTAAATCCATTTAGAATCTCCAATGTCAGATGGAGACGAATCACTACACGCGGTCTTAGCAAAACTGACGAATATACAGTAGGTTACTCGCTTGATAACAACCAGCCTGCGTCTGAAACGGGTAGACTTCTACCAATAACAGAAACGTGCAGAAACTAATTGCATCATTACTGTGACGTCGAGCGTTAATCGAACTCACCATAATTGACCACGCCTCAAGACATCTTAACATAAAAAGCTACATCATGCTGACAACCAAGAACCAATCTCTAGATTTTCCTTCGTCTGTATTGACATTTCATTGTTTACAACATTCCAATTCTCGGGTGTAAGTTGTGCTCCTTCGAAATAATCATTTCAACTTTCATAATATTACAACTAGCTAAAGCATATATTTTACTTACCTAGTAATTAACGATATTTTGAAGTATAAATAATCCTATTAATTACCCTGTATTTAACAATGATGCATCAATGATATAAGTCGACTGATACATTATTACTTAATAATTAAACGTCTTTTTCTTATTGATCAACACGCGATGATCGTGGATGATACTTTCATTGATTTGAAGATTATAATATCTTTCAAATTTAACGGTATACGAATATTTGTATATTCTCCACACCATTTACTTGACAGTAGAATAAATCTGGGTCAGATTATCATATTAAGTGAAAATAAGTATAACTTCTTCACATTTTAATATATTTATTTAATATATTATGTAATATGTAGAAAAAATAATAATTTTATTATTATATTTAGTTTAAAATTAAAGACTGTTTCATTAGAAAATTGGCCATGGTGTAATTCCCAACTATTGTGTAAAATGGTTTACATACGAAAATCATATCCACATGTTCCCAATTGGTAATTTCTGTTTAGCGAAATTACAGGATAACCATATCAACCTATCAAAAAGATTTCATAATATTTATATATTACCTACTCTTAATTCAGTATGTAACTATTATTCAAAACCGTAATTCACTTTCACAATCCAATCAGTTATATTATAGTATTATATTATATCATGGTTCCGAATATAAGTTTGATTGTTTATTCACTCTAGATTAACGGACATTTAGTATATACTGCACTGTATTGTTTCTAGAAAAACAGGTGTTCATTCACAGAGATCTTGGAAATTAGCTACAAAAACACAGAATTGGAATACGTATTAGTACAGTTGCATGAATGAAAGTCTTCTTAAATTATTAATAAATAATATGCATATAATTTAATATCCGTCGAATTAACTGCGACCATAATAATATAATATAATATGATATAATATAATATAATATAATATAATATGATATAATATAATATAATATAATATAATATAATATAATATGATATAATATAATATAATATAATATAATATGATATGATATAATATAATATAATATAATAATTTTAGTAAAATAATTCCTAAAAATAAATTTATAAACAAATGACGAATACTAAAGTTCTAATAATTTTAAAACTAATTTCACGCTGGAAAACCGTCACATCCTCATTGTGTTACAAAATATTATTCGTCGGGTAAAAGATAACCTAGGTGTACTATCTTTAATTTATCAATGACGCATGCAAAATTTTATCTCTGCAAACACCATTCAATGTTTCTTGACGTAATATACACAATATTCTTTGGAATTAAGTACTAAGGAAACATATATGAATTAAGAATCAAAGCTATTTTATTTCAATATTTCACACTTGATATATTACATAAAGCTTAACATTGCATATAAGATTTTATAATTTTACTATATCGAATTAAGTGCTAACTGAGAGTCGCCTCTTGAGTGCAAAGGGTTCGAGCTGCTTTTGGTTTCTCACTTTGAGGTTCGCGTCGACATTAGTTCATTCAATTACAGCTTAATATGACGCTGTATTTATTTATTCAAGAATATTTCGGAGTCATTGAAATGTTACCTTTAAATGGTACAATTGTGATACTACAAAGAAATATAGAAAAAATTGTTAAAACAGGTAAAGGTTGTAATAAAGTGGAATGTCAGTCTGACTCGACATAGGACTGCTAAGGATTAATAGACTATGCTATCATACCAGTCTTGGTACGGAATAGTCTTCCTTCGTTGTATACAAACCTCTACGATATTGCGATTTATTTTCAATGAACCGCGTATCTTGAGGTCATAATATTTTGGAATGACTCATCATGGATATAAAATTTTGCATGCGCCATTGAGAAATTAAATATGATACATCTGAGTTATCATTTTGAAGAGGAGTGTAAATACATACATAACGATAACGAAGAGACACTTAGGAAATGGCGTTACTATTTCACTCTAACTCTTCAGAGTCACGTGCATGCAAGATGAATTGCCAAAAGCTAAGATACAATATCTCTGGAGAAAGTACTAAAGATGAACTATGAACCCGATTGACTACAACGTGACATGTGACATGTGACATTGTATGTATTAAAGAATTAAGAACCCGTGTTTTTAACACAAGTCTGTGTTCACGGATTCACGTATACATGTATATAAACAGAATTTTTTATTATTAAATTTTTATATTTTCACTTTAGTTTAACCCATTTGCTGCCAGCATTTATTTCAACAACAATATCCGCGGTTACAATATTTTATTTAATAAAACATATCGTCTTTACGAAATACAAATAATAATCAAGAAATAAAATCTTTTATTTAAAATTATTTTATTTATTTTATATTTATTTCATTTATTTTATATCTATTTTATTTCTTTTATATTTATTTTATTATAGTAAGATTTAATTTCTATAATCTTTTAAAGTATGGTACTTTTTCAAACAACCTCCAACGTTCTATAACAAATTTGTATTATCATCTCCAGCATGACATACGAGTGAAAAGGGTTATTAAGTCATTATATCAATTTCGTATTTTCATACAAACGTATACTATTATGAAATAATCAAATTCAATTTTCGGTGGACTTCGATTTTCTAACTTATACATGAGCCGACTTGTATCATTGGCCAAATCAATAAAATAAAGAAAAGAACACAAAATAGATAGTAAACAAACCAGTGAAGTAAGTAGTAAGTCTATATTTATGGCCTCTGACTCGAATTGTTGGATAAATTATAGCATAATAATAATCAATAACACGCTCTCATCGTTACAACTGGCAAAGCATTGTTTGCAAAGTAATGGATTTTAATTGCTCTGACTTCTGAAATAAATTTTGTATTTTAACACTTTATTTACCACTCCTGCTCAAGGCAACCACTTACTAATTATCAATACGGTTTGTAACTATGGAATTTAATTTCAGAAATCGCTGATAAGGGGAGGCATCCACTCAAGGAGCTCGGTCCGATAGTAATGACGGAAACAGTTTCAGTACTGACAGAGTTGTTACTGACAGAGCTGCGAGTTACGACAGAACTGCGCCTTTGTTACTGACAGAGCTGCGAGTTGAGCACACTTTTGAGCTACAGATCGGCTTAACTCACGCGAGTAACACACTGTACACGTTTAACGTAGGCCAAATACACCTATAATATATTCTAACGAAAAGCTAAAGCAAAACGAAGAAGAATTACATATTTATCTGAAAAAAATAAATAATTTATCGTTAGAAGGATCAGTATCATTAATTTTATTTTGTAGGACGAGCGATTTTTGTAAAGATTATTAGGGCAACGAACTGCGCTAAGGCCGCCGCGGTCATTCGACCCATGCGAAAAAACGCGAGTCTTGTCCTGTAAGACAAACAGTGCGAGCGTAAGGTTTTCTGGAGGTCGGATGACTAGCCTAACATCAAAACAAATGATAGATGAGCGAACGAGAGCGCGCGCGGGAAAGTCACCTATGTCAAAATAGGCGACAGTTGATTGGCCCGATGAGGAAACAAAGTCGAAACAATGATAGGATGCGATGACCGCTAAGTTTGGATGTATACAAATGTGTGTGTCTGTCATGTGTGTCCGTGTGTTTTCGGCAACAGCATATACCTGTATACCCGAGATAGGTTGTGGGAGCGCGGGTAGTGAGTGCGAGGGTGAGGGCAAGGGCGAGGGCGAAGAAGAGAGTTAGCAAGTATAGAACATGTCGTCAAATCACGCAAGGCGAAGTTGGTTCAAACAAACTTTTATTTTACGTTAGTTAGATGTTACAATAATGCTTACAGGAGTGTATAGTACTAGCAGAGTGACGATAGAATACTGTTTTGGTGTTGCTTGAGTCCTCTTTTTATAAGAAAGTTTTGGTGGAAAAATCGGGAGAGCAGAAGGGTCCGTGAGGGAAATTCAGGGAAGTGGTCCCGGATGCATAAACATGTCATTATGCAGGAAATGGGAAAAAGAGCCTTTTTCAAGGGACGATCAGACAGGTGAAAAAAGGGAAAAGGCCCGGATGCAGAAATATTGGTTACATAAGGAATGAGAAAATTCGCTTTAGAAGGAAAAATAGGTGTAGGCCCGAATACATAAAGTACTAGTTAATAGCGAACCGTGGTTTGGGGAAAAAGGTTTGGGACTAAGGGTTGATTGAGAATCGACAGCGGATGACGAAAGGACGAGTGGATCGACAAACATGGAGTCACTGATTCTTAGAGTCGAAATTAGAGAGTAATATTTCTATTATATTTTGTTAAATGAAAATCATCTACACCAGTCATACGAGGGATTGCTATCCTGGCAGATACAAATAAAAATCCCTACAATGTTGAGATAATGCGTATATCTACTCGTCAAACGCAGTTAATTGGTTAAACCAGCGTAATTTTAATAGGTTACCAATTGCTAAGCATTCGAAATCGAAAAGGTGATTAATAGATTTGCGATAGATAAAGTATTAAAGTATCTTAAAGTTTCTATCATATCGTGATGTAAAACCAATTATTAATTTATTTCAGATATGAAAAGGTAAACTCAAAACCTCAACAAATTTTAAAAGTGGACTTAGTCGATTTCGCCTGTGTGTGGCTCATGCCTATATAGAAGTTTCATAAGTCTATACAGAAATAAATATATAATGTACAGAGTGTTTGCCATAATTTGTGCCATCATTTTTTTCGTAAACGGTAAACATTAGAAAAGAACTGAAGAGCAGGAAGTTGTAGTATATTTTACTAGCAATGTAACTATCAATACAGGTGACATTAATTTTTTTTTTAAATAGAATGTAGTATACTATGGCCTTCAGAATCATACAAGGACAGAAATAAAAGAAATACATTTAACATTTCGTAATATTGTATTTAATTGTATGATGTAGTGATCTCGACTATCTTGTGTTCAATGTGACCTCCTCTGACTGTAGGAATGTTTATCTTTTCATAAGACTAAAATTGACAAAATATCACAAAAATAAAAATTGTTTGAAAATATCCCGAAAACTAAGCAAGACTGCCACTTATATGTACAGAAGAAAAAGATAAAAACATCGAATTCTATAATAGATTCGAGAAACACAAGTCGGTGAGAACATAAGTTTTCGATAAGTTCATCAATCTCTGCTAATTTCTCCAACCAATTTCTCTGCTAATCCGTGCAATACTCAAATGTGTCAAAGCCGAAATATTTTTTGTTTTATTTTTCCCAATCTTTCCTCGGACAAAATTTGTCCACTGTGCATCAGATATTTAATAAATTCTAATGTCCAGCATTAGGGGGATTTCTTCTACAGATATATATGTCGCAAAAATATTTCGAATTACGAGAAATAAATGTACTGTATCTTGAAAATGAAAAACTTTACATTATGAATATATATACAATTTTACATAGCTTATTCTCTATTACACAAAGTAGTTATCGTACACTAATTACGTTTAAATGTTTATGAAAGTCTCAGCCTAACAATGGGAATAATCATGAATTGTTTTTTATATCTACATTCTATGTCGTTACATGGATCTTGATCGAATTGTTGAGTTTCAATGTATTGTAGCTTCAATGTAGTGAGTTGAACTAATGTAGACGTAGTTCGATAACACAATTAGATGTGATTAGGTATTACAGATATGTTTTACATTAATTTATGTATGTTTTTAGCATAAAATAATTAATGAATGACTGGAGGAATATAAAAAGGAAAAAAGGGAGAAAAGAGAACCATGTTATTTTTCTTATTTCAAATTTTCTTATTTCAAATTTTATAAAAAACTTTGTCCAAACTGATTGAATGATCATATTTGTTAAGACGTACATTACAAGACAAGTGTATTGATATCTCAACAAACATACTTGAGCAATATTCGTAAGAAATTAATGACGACACTGTAAGTAATGGTAGTTCTGGTATGAGTAGAACCAAAAATAGTAAACGGCATTAGCAAAGTGTGTAATAAATGGAACAACAAAATAGTAGAATAGGAAGAAGTGAAGTTACGACACAAAGAAAAAATGGATAAGTCAAATGTACTTATGAATAAGATACTTCTGTAAAAATATTTGCCCTGAGACTAAATAAATATATCTGTATTATATTATAATGGATGAAAATATAAACACTGATTAAATTTAATCTAGTTGCATTTCGAGGGAAACGTGTTATTTATTATATTTGAAAAAGTCTAAGCTGTCAGGATGATAAAACATTCTATGAATCCTCAAGTTTTGTTACTTTCAAAGTTATCAAATGTTTTGGAGCCAGCAGAAAGGCACGTTGATTAATTACATACGGAATTACAGTGTTATTGCAAACGTCGACTTTATATTTGCGAAGTATCCTTATGAGACCAACTTTCGTTTGATAGATTGCAAAACGTGCACCTGCAAATAAAGAAGTTTTCATTTTATTTAAAAAGTAGCATATTTTATTTTATTCATAAACCATTATATATTTTATTTTATTTTATTTTTTGAAGTATTATATATTTTATCTTATTTATGAAGTATTATATATTTCATTTTACACGTGTATGTGTTATATGTACTTTAAAGCAAATGAACATGTTTCAGAGAATTGAATAGTGTGTGTGAAAAAATTAAATTTTAGAGATGTATTTTTCTGAAATACAATGCATGTGTTTAGCAAGATTTAAGATTACAGATGTCATAACTTTGATAATGATACTTAAATGATATTTATATTTATTTGAATTTAATAAAATTTACTTTTTGGTTTTTATAAAAATAAAAGAACTTGGGATTAATAATGCTTTGTACGTACCAATACAGTTCCTTGGGCCATCCCCAAAGGGTAAAAAGTGCATTGGATGTCTTTTCGATACTTCGTCTTGTGTGAATCGATTAATATCAAATACTTCAGGATTTGGGTAAATATCTGGGTCATAATGTACTCCATTTGCGGGTATAAACACACGTGTTCCTTTAGGTACCCATATTTTCGAGTCTTCGAAAGTGTAATCTTCTATTGTCTTTCTCATAATTGCAACTGGCGAATACTTTCTTAGTGTTTCTATAGTAATAAATAAAAAAATTAAAACATGAAGGCTTCAAACAAAAATTCCAGAAAATAGTATTTCCGTCGTATAATAAATAATGAAATATTGAAATAAAACAGATAT